CACTGGGATACAGCCAGACCCAAACCGACAGAGCAGTTACAGAAGGCAATTAGAGCAGGAAGCAGCTACAGTGTGTTGTAAGACAGCCTCACACCGATTTCTTCTAGTTTTCATGCTGATTTCTCCATGACTATTTATCCTTGCCTCACCTCCCTTAAGTCTCTTACTTTCAGTAAGTTACATTATTAAACAGCAACAAAAAAACCCCAAGTAACAAGGCACACCACAGAACTGATGTAACGCTCCCTGGCCTGTTTCATCTCAACACACCGGAGTGAAGGAACCTGGCGGGACAATTTCCATTGATGCTATTGCAACCACCACACTTTAACTGCTGTCCTGCATCCACGCAATTCCATGTCGTAACATGGATGAATTACCAACATCCCTTTCTGTGTATTTACAGAAATTCACCTATCTCTTTTCAGCTTTCAAAAAAACCTCGACAAATTAAGCTCTTACAGTTGCCCCTCTCTAAACAAGTACATCATTCCACCAGTTCCTATCAGACTCCCTCTATGCAAGTTTCAGATCACTTTTTCGAGTACGGATAACCGGACTTTTATTCCATTTTCAGCTGAGGCCTCACCAACACTCTGCAAAACTATTCCATTTTTATCTGTTATGTCTTGAAGAACCTCTACTTGTAGCATACACAAACCCTGTTCTCAGGCAGCAGAGATTATTTGGCAATATAGGGTTTTTAATGACAACCGGTTCACTTGCTAAATCATGAAAAAAAATTAATTTCTGAAATTGTAATTACAAGTCAGATCCTGCCACCAGCTTAAAGTACCGTCACAAACAGCTGACTTGGTATTTGATGCAAATGAGGAAGCAGAAACCTCTAGTGAGGGGTTTCTTCCTGTAGAGGAAGGAAAATGGATTGCAGTGATGGTTAATACTTCATATTTAAAAAAAATGCTCTTTCCAAAATGGTTACAAATATATGTTATGTTAAAGCTTGCAGCTTTTCACAGCTAGCTAAGTTGTTCAGACTTATACTGCACTTTTGTATGACATTTACAAAAAATTCCAAACTAAAGTGACATCTCTTTTATGTCCCGAAGATACAAATTATGTCTAACAAGCAGTAGAATTTTGTTAGAAGAGTGCTTTAAAATAATTTACTTGATCCGTTGTATGCACCATGGCTTGCACCAAATTTAATAACAAAGATAGTCTAGATTGGAAAATCAGACTGGAGGCATACGATGGCAGTGTCTTTGTTCAGATTAAATTAAGCATGTTCTCAAAGGCACTGAAGCAGGAACCTACAGATAAGACTTTGTATGCTAACCATGGATTAGATCTGGCAGTAAGTTTTTAATGAAGCCTTATTGGGGAGCATAAGATTATAGATGTTGCTACTATTTAATTGTTATGTCAAAGGTAAATCAAATTAAGATACAGTGAATTTAGACTTATATTAGATGAATTGAGCTCCTCTCTTCTGCTATAAAAGTGCTATATATGCAAATCTAACCATAACTGGCCACATGTCCTTAATCACAAATTAATTCATAAGCACTTAGTAAATATCTTTAAGTGTCTTTGCATCATTGTCAAGTGTCTGTGGAAAACCAGACATTTACTGCTGCACAGAAGCTGCGGGAGGCTTGCAGCAAGGTTGGCTTCTTGGCAGAGCAGCTGTCAGTCACCAGGAGGTGGTTGCCAGTCCACAGGGCTACTAGGGACAGGGAAAAAAAGTCACACAGACTTCAGCTGAGGCTGCAGTGGGCATCTGCTAAGAAGGTGGTGGTCTGAGTTGCATCGAAAAGGCCTGAACTCAGATAAGCCAAGTAATTGTAGAACTGCTGCAGTAAATCAAAAACAATTCTGAGGAGATCTGTATAAGTCCATAGGATTTCCTGATTTAAAATTCACTAAAAACAGCAGCCAAAAATGCAAGTTCTAGGCCCTGCTCTATTATTTGCCTCTAAATCTCTGCCTGTCTTCCCCCAATATCTGTCTCCCCACCCTAGGATATTATTAATTTTTTAAGGATCAGTTGATTTTTGCAATCTCCTTCAAAATGCTATTCTGTGTAAATGCTGCACTATATTCTCCAGAATAGTTGCAGTCTTTATGTTGAGGATGATATCAGAAAAACCCCAACCAAACAAAAAAACCCCATTAGGCTACTCTTCAGTATTTGTACTTAATACAAGATGAGGAAGTAGGGCTGAAGGGGTTTTCAGCACTAAGGTGAAAAAGCACCCAGAGAGCTAAAACTAAAGCTGAAACTGCCATAGGTGTTGTGTAGAAACTGATGGCCCAACAGAGAAAAAAAATATCAAATAGCATGAAGGGATAAGGAATTGATAGACTAATAGGAAAACTCACGTCAACTGCCTAGGTCAAATAGAGCAGAAGGGATCTCAGATTTTGCACTTCCACAGAATAGTTGCCCATAGCACCAAAGATTCTGTGACTCTCCACATCTCATCAATATTTCCCTATAATTATTACTCAGTTGTAATATTTTTGTAAAGTAGCTTCATATTATTATTATGAATTATTTACAAAAAGGAGAATATTGCTAAAACATGCTGTGGGATTGGTCATCACTAGGAATTTGTATATTAGGAACTTGGTAAGGGAATTATCTGGGTTTTTATTACTCCAACAAGTGAACTTCTGGTCATCAAAATCATATTTGTGACCAGGAAAATACATGAGCACATGAATTCTCAAACAAACATTTAGGGCTTAAATTTTTACATGTCAAAGGTCAGCATTTCAGTCTGCCCACGATTTAAGAAACCTTTCCTTGTCTGTTCTGATCTGCTCCAAGCAACTAGAGGCAGGGAGGGGAGGTTCACCCCAGGCATTTAAAGTTGTGATTTTTTTTTTATTTTTATTTTCTTCTTTAAAAAAAAAAAAGTAAAAAACCTAAACCTGAACAAGTCCACAGTCCCACACTAGAAGCATGTAGAAAACCTCATTTTCTCAAATGATCACAGAGCAGAAACATAAGAGTAGAAGTTGTAACTGCTTAATGGATTCGGGCCAGACAAATCCTACTCACTACATTAGGATTTATTCTTTTATGACATTTGTTTGCTTTTGAAATGTAGATCCCAAATCTCCAACACAGACACAGCTAACAGCACTATTTTCACCCCTAGGTCTGGAAGGAAACTTGGTAAAGGACTGTAAGAGCCGATTATCATCTGCAATTTGCATTTCTTGCCACCAGTGAGGATTTAAGACACACTGTGCCAGGCACTGTACAGACATGGGACAACTTTTACACCTTCCTGCTTCACAGACAGTCCTGAATGGAGTGCAGAGAGCACATCTCAACTACTTGAAAAGAGCAAAAGGTGAGAGAGATATCAAGGTGCAGTAAGAGTATGCATAGCTAAATGGTTTCATATCTTCCTAATTGCCATGAACTGATGAATGAGAAAAACACCTCAAATCATTATCTGCCAATCTAATTCTGATGTTATCAGAGGGAAAAGGGAAAATACAGAAGGTTCCCTCAAAGAACAACAGAACCAGATATGCAAACTGCGACTTTTATCACATCCCACATTTTCTAGGAAACAAGTAGTTTAGAATAGTAGTCAGAGGGTGACATTCATTACGCACTTATATGAACTAGGGGAAAAAAAAAAAAAAAAACCAAACAACAGATTCTTACCAAGACCCTTCTATGTCACATTGTTATCATACAAGCTGTACTCCCACATTATTGCCAACGTGAACTTTGTAGCAGAACATTGCAGGTGAAAAGGGCATGGCTTTTATAGTCAAAATGGATTTAAAAAAAAAAAAAAAAAAAGAAAACAGATGTAATACTTACAGAATTCAGTTTTAATAAGCTCACTGTAACTGGCAGCAGCAGAGAAGATAATGTTAAGACTTAATTTTCTTATTTCTCAGGAAGTCCCACCCTATTTTTAATAAACGTTGTGTTTATTTTTTAACCACAAATATTCAAACAGGATTTCTGCAAGCCCAGTAATCATCCCTCAGTCGTTGTTGAAGGGACACGTTACTGAATGCAGCGCTCACCAGGGTTGCAGTATGGTGCAGCCAGGGGACTCTCAGATTTGGATTTTTTGCCCTTTGTTTCAGTAAGAGGGCAGTTTTGTTTGGTTGGTTTTGGGTTTTTTTGTTGTTTTTTTTTTTACACCTGCCATGCAGATCCCCACTTCCCAGCACTCTCATGACTTCTTCAGGCAGTCGCCCTTCCCCACACACCCTAACACTGCTGCCTCTGGGCTGGCCATCGTCCTCAGCTACTTCCCAGCAGCAGCAGCCACTTCATACCTTCCTCTTCCCTGGTGAGTTGATACCGTGGGAACAGGGTGGGGAGGCAGGAGGGAACAGTGTGTCCCTCTGCCCCAAAGGGCTGAGCTCTAGTGACAGCACAGCATGGAGGTGACAACTACTGCTACGCAGGCGACAGTGACGGGAGACCTGGTGTGCACACCCACACGGGGTAAATGCCATACCTGTATATCAGGTTGTAGCAGATATGGGAAGAAGGTTTGGACAGCAGCGCTCAGTCCTCGACAGGAAAAGACAGCAAGGGAAGAGGAAGCATCCCACAGGCCTTATTTGAGCTGTGGACTACCTCTGTTTAATTTTACCACCCCTTTATAAGAGAATTAATCAGTATTTTTGCTGAGCCACTTCCCTCTGGATGTTTTTGGTCAGGGGGTTCATGACAGGTTTAAAGCCACTCCAAATTGCTGCTCATATTACTACTCAATACATAACTTCAGCTCATGTTATTAATAGTGTTATCTACACAACCAAAGAAAATGAGGTACGTCACATGCATTCTTAGCTATTTTAAGATTCGTGGGTAAGTGATTCCCCACTTTTACTGCCATTGCCTTTGAAACACACAGAAGAAAACACCATAAGGCACCCTCAACTCTTGATGTTCTCTTAAGTAAAGCTTCCCTGTGCGTGGAAGGGCGACACAATCACACTCGAGGCCCACAAAGAACAGTAAAAAACCTTCTTTTCCTAGCAGATGTTGCTGACATTCCTCCAACCCAGAAGTAACAAGGTGTCACAGCCAATGAAAGTCACAAGGTAAGTGTAATGCATTAAAAATTTTTATAAATATCACGTCTTTCCTCATTTTCTATCGACCTGTTTGATTATGCTGTATACGGGGAAAAGTGTGATAGAATTAATCAGCCTGCTGGAGTGAAAGCTAAAGGAACAGATGAGCTTTGGCAAGGCTGTTGCTAGCACTTAAAAACTGTGACAAAAAAAAAAAAAAAAAAGCAAACCTAAATCCAGAAGCATGTCATTCAGAAAGTGAGACATGCTATGATTTATCAACGTAACAAAAATTGATGTTAAGATAGATCTCCCATTTCAAAGTGTTGTCTCTGTGTAGATTAAGAGTAGTATCTGTCATCAGGAAACAAGGGGAAAAGAAATATGTTTGATAAGAGCAATTCTGTGCTCTCTTGTAGACAGAAAACCACTGTGTCATTGGAATGAAAGTAAAGGATTTCTCTGCAGTTCCATTCTCAGGAGAAAAAAAAAAAAAAAAAAAAAAAAGGAGAGGTGACAAGAGGAAGTGCAAATAATTAATAACAGAAGATCAAACAAAAGGAGTGGCTTTGCAAGAAGTGACTAATGTTTACTCCGTTTCAGAAAAGTCCACATTGCATTGCAGAGAAGATGCTTGCATCGCCCCCGGAGAACAACAGCAAACCCGGTGCACAGCAGGCAGTGGCTTACCACTGTGGCACAACAGGGCAACTTTCCCTTTCAAAGAAAGAGCTTCTTTCTTCTCGGCTCAACAGCTGCTGCACACAGGGTCTCCAGCATCTTAGCAGTTTGATTGTTGCATATAGAAAAGGCAATACCAAAGCATAAAACGTGTAACAACTTCATGAACGTTTTGCCAGCAGCTGATACAATGGGAAGTGCATCTTGAAACAGCAGGGCGGTGGAGTAAAACAAAAACCATGGAGCCAGTACTGTCGTGTCATTTGGCACATCCTTGCACTTCCCTTTATTCTGTTCCAGATCTTGGAAGGGAAGGCTGAAGCATCTTATTTGCTAATTAAGGTTTCACACAATTCAAACACTGAACAAACAAAGGACATCCCCAAATAGAGAAACCTGCCAGCCTTCACGACCTTGCCAACAGACTGATGTCTCAGTTCAGTGCTTTCACAACACAGAGAGTAAAAGAACGCTGGACAACTGCATATACAAATGTGTATGCATACACACACATTTTTATGCTGGTATGCACACACTGCCACTGATCGTGATCCAAAAGTTACACCTCCCTGTTTGAGTTAAGGACGCTCCAGACACCCCACAGACAGAGGTTGGAAAAAAAAAAAAAAAGACGACGTTAAAATAACAGACCTATTTTATGGTGTCAAATGCCTAATGATAGTAATTAAGGATTCTAAAGTTCTTTACTGAGTAGCATTATCTAAGATAGCATCATGCCTGTAATCTGTCCAGAGTCAATGAAGAATTGCTGATCAAGCCAACAAGGCAAGAAAAAAAGGTCCGACGGCTTGCCATCTGCTCAAACCACTACCTCACCCCTCATTCCTCTAAATACAGCAATGAGCCACAACAGGATGCAGATGACCAGATTGTTTAGCTGTCACTTCAGCTGAACACGCAGTGGCTGTTGATGTGTTACAGTGGACTCTCAAAACCAAACATGACATATCGCTGCTGGACAAATAGCTCCTTCAACGTTTTGCCTTGCCATTTTTGTGGATTGATTGTACCCATGCAGCAAGGTAAAGCATTAGAGGCTAATCAAATTTTTTCCTACTTTATTAAGTATTTGCATGCAGTTTTGTTTTATAAACATACTGTTAAATGGTCCATAGAAGCCTTTGGCACTCACTCTCCCTTTGGTTAGAAGCCCAGGTACTCCTAGAAGAGCTTTTGGCCTAGCAGCTTCTTTCTGCTACTATAATAAAAATTAGGCCTGAAATATTGAGCAGATATTTAGAATTCTTAGAGGTTCTTAATTCTTAATTAGAGGTTCTAGATTAGAGGTTCTTAATTCTTGAGCAGATTCTTAGCAACAAGAGACAAGTTCAGAGCAGCTGGAGGTTACCAAATTGTTGCAGCTTGAAAAAGCAAATCAGTATATTCAAGGAAAGGAGCAATTTGAAATTCTTATAAAGCACTTGGACACCACAATGATGGACAAGAGTTCCTCCACTCATTTCTCTTTCTCTTATTGCTTCTCAGCTGTTTCTTCCACTTTCAGGTAGTTTTAATTTGTCCTTCCATTTTTACCCTCACAGTTAACTAACAGCCTTCTAGTCAGGATTCTGCTGTTTTTAGTGATGAAGTACCAGCTGTGCATCCCTGCAAGCTGGTGCATGTGTGACCTTGAAATTTTCGTGTAGCCAATCAGAAAATGCCTTTAAACAGTGTTTCCTATCTCCCAGAGAGCATCTCTCAATTTTTAGCATTAGATATATATCACTTTATAGCATTGAAAGCATTGTGCAAACATTAGCCAGCTAATACCAACAAAAAATCACTCCCCTCCCAGCCTATACCCTGTAATTGTCTAAGTAACAGTTCCTCCATTTCACTGAAGCCAGCCTCAGGAGTTGTTTTTGCTTGCTCCTCTGCAGGAATATTAAAACAGAATGAGAATGAAGATAGCTGTTAATTTTATGTCACAGTTAGGAAACTGGAGGTCTTCAGATCACACTTTCTTCTCAATCTTTTAATTGCAAAATTATACTTCAAGATTTGACACAAGTTTCTCACCTTCCTATTTTAAGTTACAAGCAAGCAAATCCAGACAAAAGAACTACATTTTTTTTTTAACTAATCTGCAGAGCCTGCACAATGCTTTAATTTCAAATAAGTGAAATTCTGCTAATTACTAGCAACAGTCCATGTGATTTTACAGAGAGCTATGTCAAACTAAACCAAATTGTAGGTCAGAATGTGCCAATCTTTTCATCATTATCATTAATTCCCTTTGTGATTTATCCCCCCCCACACACGTGTGCCTTACCAGGTTCTTTGAGCCGCTGGCTAGGATTGCTCAGCCGCTCCATAATTATTCATCACACTAGATCCAGCAACAAGACATTCACAGCATGCTCTTCTCACATTTTGTTAAACATTAGGTACAATAGCAGATAATAGAAAATTCAGATTCTGAGACAAAAGTCATGAGAATTTGGGTGGAATCAGATGACTAACAGAATTTTTGCTAAAAAAGAACGGGGGTAAAAAAAAGATTCTTGAGCAGACATAATGCCTTTCTTTTTTTGGATAAGCACTAGTCTAGACCCTAGAATACTTCCACTTCTAGATATGATGCTTAGTAACCTGTTCCTGATCTCCTAGTAAATTTTAATTAAAATAACCAGAACGTTCCCTAAGTGAGTTAGATCGTGACTTCCTGTGATCCTCTTCCAGATCCAACACTTTTTGCTTTTGCCATCAGACCTACGTTAACTCCGCAGTGCTTTGGCCAGCACTGTCCCTTGCCTGGCATCCCGCGTCGTTCGGCCCCACCATTCCCTGCAGCCACCCCCCGCCTCTTTCCCTGCCATTAGGCTCCACCGTCTAAGATGAGAGATGCATGCCTTGCATCTGCATAGCACCTAGCACAACAGGATCTGATCATCTAGAGAATTTGGAATAGGCTGGGAATTATACAAGCAATAAATCATCAAAACCCATCTTTTTTACGCAGATTAATGTTACATAAGTTATGCCTGCCATAAAGTATAAACAGCATAAACTGCACCTCTTTGCATTCCAGTGTGTTGTGGAAGATCATAAAAGCACTTAATATATTATTTAAGCCAGTTAAGCTATATAGCATGACAGCAGTAAACAGCAACAATTCTCCAAATCCCCATATGCCAGACAAAGGATCATGGTTAGCAGTTTCAGGCTGGTAGGAGGGAATCAGAACATTGCAGAAATTAAATGGCATGCACTGTTTTTTTTTCTTCTGCCTATCTTAGCAGAGCCTACCTTTCCATACAGCCACTCCAGTGCACTATCAATACAAGAGACCGAAACCCATCACAGAAAGAAGGCTGGCTTTTTTTTTTTTTTTTTTTTTATTTTTAAGCATAACAGGGCGTTAATGCTTTAAGAAAGAGGAATGAAACCACTTCTCTTGATAGCTACATTCTGTAGGCTGGAGGGGAATTTCCTTGCTTTTTTCTTTTTAATAAAACTAAAATTAAAAAAAAAAATACCCCCAGAACCTGACTTCCTCTGGAAAAATCCATGAGCTGAAGTGCAAAGTGGAAACTTAAAAATACTCCAAGCACTAGCCATCCTTCTTTCACACAGGGTCAGGCACGGGGCAGCGTGATGCGAGGCGCAGGTCCAGGAGCAGGAGAAAGACGGGAAACGCAAGGCAGGATGTGCACGAAAAGGGCATCAGTGACGAGCGAGGGATGAGACCTGACTGCTACCAGGAGCCTGAGCTTCGTCACCCCTTGCAACCCTGGCACACATCACATGCCCAGAAGCCTCATCACGCTGTGTGCCAGCGGGCAGCCGGCCCAGCAGCACTGAGTGCGCTGGGAATCCTAGCCAGTCTGACACCCCTGTGCCAAGAACAAGATCACTCAAGGCAGATATGAAGATCCTCTAAAGCAGCAGGGAAAGAAAATACGGATTTGAGAGCCTTTGCCATAAAGGCAGGCTTTGAAATTGAAGGTGCCACGACTCCGAGGGTACGGACCTGGTGCAGACAGTCTCCTGGCTCTGAGCCCCAATTGCTCTGACCAGTTGTTATTTTCCATCCTCTTTGTATGTGCAGATACAACATGACAAAGGTTTTTTCCCCGTCGAGTCGTTCAGAGAAAAGCCTCAAGACAGAACAAAAAAACAGGACAGGAGAACCCCTTCTGGTGGCCTGACATTTTATTTCTCTATTGCAAAGAGAGGAAAATCCCTTTTTATTCCTCTACAGTTTTTATCATTTTGTGATTTATTTTATTATTTTATTCCTCTCCACTGCAAAGAGAGAAAGAATCTCGTGGAAGAGCAGCTGTTTGCTGCGGCGGGCTCGCAGCACGCCCAGGGCAGAGCTGTGAACGTAGGGCACAGGGCACCCACGGGAGGACAGCCAGCTCCTTGCTTCATCTCCTCAGCACAGAACTGCACAAGGGGGCTGGCACTTCGCCCTCTGAACCACCAGGGTTTTCCCCAGGAGTTAATTTTCTTTATATCTGACTGAAAAAAAAACATCACCAAGTTCTGTACAGCCTCCCTGAAGGCATCCTTGTCTTGATGGGCATTTCTACCAGGGTTGTCACCCTGTCTCTCTGCTTCAGGCTGTTTTCTTCCATTTTGAGACAATGAGAGCTCTCTTGCCCTGGCTCCAGGAGCAACTGGGTTTCCTACCTGGTTATGCCCACCTTTCTCCCTTGCTGTCGCTTTTCAAGCCCTCTCTTCCCTCCCAGGCAATGCTTAGTTCTCCCATTTCTCTCTCCTTTTTTTTTTTTTTTTTTTTTGCTCCCTACCTCTGCACTGTGAGCTCCTATTTGGCTTGTACATGTGGTGCCTCTCTGCACAATTTGCTAATCCCACACACACCCCTGCCACATTCCCCAGGCAGAGCTGACCTTCTGGCACAGGCGTGCCAGTCTCATCATTTTCCAAGCTTTTCTGAATTATTGCTAAGATGGTGGGTAAATTTGTTAGGGAGGGGAAGGGAGCAAAGCAGATACCACTTAGGGCAGTCCATATTACACGATCCAAAAGATTAATAAAAGAAGCTAAATTATTTTCAATATTAAGAGATACCCAACTTGTTATGGATTTGAATTGATAAGCAGCACCAAAGGGATGGGCTTATTAACATCTCATTAACACTGCCTATTTCAATTTGCATAAACCCCTGAAAACTTATGAAGCACAGTAAGAAGGAAAGCCTTTAACTATCCTGTTTCTCACACGCTACAAAGTTGCAAAGTATGGAGGAAGCCGATAATGCTCTTTCCGTTCCTGAGGACTTCAAGCATCTTAAAAAATAGCTATATGGCATTAGCAAACACCATCAATAAGCTCACTAGCAGCTGGCTGAAAAGCTAAAGACAAACAGCTACAAAACTGGTGAAGCATAAAATAACCTAGGAACACTTGAAGATACATCTGCTGACAAGGAGGTGTCCAGCACCTGAGGTTAGTCACTAGTAGCTTTGGGCACCACGGCAGATTTGGCTAGCTGTGTCGTCCAGTATGGGAATACTTGCAGCACACTTGATCAGATTCTGCAGGAAGTAGATAAGATGTATTTATGGCTTCTACACACCACTGGTCACAAACTGTGGCTCTTCACCACATTAATTCAAACAAGTGATTAAATGAGCAACTCCAAACACTTACCAAAAAGGGACTCCTATGGTATATTAAGATGCCTCTTATAATGCCACATAAAAACAATAACTAGGCACAAACTCTCTTTCAGCTCTCTTCCCCTAATGCAAGATTTATTAACTTCAGCTGCGTTTATCGGCTTCCAACTGCAGGGAGAAGACAGGTCTCCAGTTGGCTGTGAAAGTTTTCATCATCCTTAAGCACCAAGAAAGGAATTTCCAGATCCAATTAGCAAAGCCTCCACCCCTACAGTCTGAGCAGTTGCACTATGATTAATCACTCTATCAAGTGAAGCGTCCACCACCCTCCTGGTAAGAACAGGTTACTGAAAAACATTACAATTCCTATTAAGTATTATATTACAATACATCTGGCAATGATGTTTGGTTTCTGTGTTTAACTAAAGCACGTGTACCTGCAGTTGGTTTAAGTATAATGTAAAATACCTGTATATTTATCTGCATTTATCAGCTCACCTTCCCCATGACCTACCAGTAAAATATTGCATCAGATGCCTGCACCTATTATGTGCAGCCTGACTCATCACATCACACGTGGTATTCTTGCTAAATCTGCCTAAAACAGCAAATAACAAACAGCAGTATAAACAGAGCATCTTCACAACTGTTTCCTTTTTGGCTACATGCCTACTCTTGCACTGCAATAGCTGCTGTACTAGAAAATTTGGTTAATGTTTGCACTTGCACAGCTCCTGGAAGACTAAGACACTCAAATAGCAGAAATTAATATTCACAAAAGAGCTGTCAGGGGGAAAGGAAAAGTTTTCCCTGAGGTGCACTGTTAGAACACAGCGTGTTTGACTGGCACCTAGCCTTCCTTTCCTTCACAGGGAGAAATACGAGATGCAAAATCTGTTTGTACTCCTAGCTTTCCCCCATCCAGTTAGAACATTGTTTCAGAGGACTCCTGCCCTTAAGGAAACAATATAGTCCAATAGTTTTACACAGATGTGGTCTGGGTTATGCCATCATCCAACATGATAGGCTTCAAAATAGAAAGTAAAGTTGTCTTCCAGAGGGGCAGGGGAAAGGGATACGACCACAGACTTCTGAGGACTCAAAGGCACGTTTCATGCCTGATCTCACAGGAGTGGACTCACCCACAAGACCCTGCATGATGAACACAGTGAACTGGAATCTGACTCGGTGCTACCGAAAAAATTCAAGAGACAGGGAAGGTTTGTAGCTTCAGTGGTCAGAGCACAGCTTTGAACATTATTCAACAGGGAAAAAAAGCACTTTGCAACCTCAGGTGTCTAGTCTGCTCTGGTACTGTACCGAGTAATGCCAGAGAAGACTACTAAGACCACCACTCCACTGCAAACCAAGTTAACAGACAACTCCTAAATACAGCCAGATCCCCAGATGCAGACAAGCCAGGGAAGTCCATCTACACCTCCTGCTTGTACATTTACAGCATCAGCTGAGCTCCAAGTGCAGTGTACACAAAAAGGTAGAAGAATGAAGACCGAGAATCAAGGGGAACTCAAGGCCTTCTCCATCCTCTGAAACAGCGAAGTGTACACACGATAAGCCAAGAGAGCCTCTCCGTGTTGTAGTCACATGCTCTGTGGAAGCTGTAATCTCACAAGGACACAGATATGGCCATGCAAATATGGGTTATGCCTATGCTAACAACCGCCGTATGTCCCTAGAGTGCCTAAAAGGCTTTTAATCTGTCAGGCAATGTGTGTGAAAGCTTGTGCTGAAGAAGCTTCATTTCGCTTGTGCTCCTGTTAGCCAGGAACACGCTGCCCTTTAATAGCCTGACTTGAGAGGCGAGAGCATAAGCTGGCAACTTTTTGGTTTAAACCTCTGGAGGTGAAAAGGGGAGGAGCTGCCTGCTACACTGGGGACAGATGCCACTTTTGCAGGCAGCAAACACAGCAAGAGAGCAGTTGGTAGTAGCAGGCATTGAGAAACCAGCTGCATTTTCAACATCCCCTCCAACCAAACCACCTCCAACATAGTCCTCACAAAAACTAGGCTGAAGCCGGCATAAGTGCACCTATCCGGGCTATCATCGCTGTTTCACTCTGCATAGCTTACCTTGTGTTAAATAACATATAACATACCGTAAAATCCTAATATAGGCTAAACAAGTTGTAACATACCTCAGATGGTCAAAGCAAACCTAACTGCAAAGCATTAGAAGGTAATTGTCGGCATCTGCTCAGCATCAGCCTGTGCAAGGCTCCTGTGTCAGAGAGCTGACAGCAACATTTCAGATGGGGGGAGGCAGAGGGAAAATATTGCAAACATCTTAAGGGGAGGGCTTGTCTTCATGTATTTGTGCTGTTCATGGCTAAAGGCCAAACTTCCCTAACAGCCTGAAAACAAGAACCTGTGTCCGTTGCAAGACCCAGCGACAGATACTTTCCCAAGGCTACTACCTGCACCAGGCATTTGGCTCGGGGGGTGCTCAGCATCACCAGACATGCAGAGAAAAGCTTGACCAAAAAGCATCTGAACTTTTGCCAAGAGCAGTGCCGGTCCCTCCGCGCAGCCGTGCCTGGGGAGACCTCAGAGAGAAGGGGCCTTTGTACGGCCCTCGGGATGACTCCCAGTGCCAGAAACGACCTGACACAGGAGCACAGCTGAATCACAGCTGCAGCAATTACACTAATTGTCCAAGGGACAAAACAATTGCACTTGTCTGACTGGTCAGGGCATGATGGGAACCCCATACATTTTTATATTGTGAAAGCATTTCGCCTTGAAGTAAATTTCCAAAACAGAGTCCATTTAATTCCAAGCCTTTCCAGACTTCTTCCTGGCCAGTGCAATTTATTCTTTTAAAAAAGGAGAACTTTAAAAGAGGTGTTGCCCAGGAGAGAGAGATCTCACTGCAGTTGGCTCTCACCGCCATCTGTGAAGGAGGTAACCCTGAACTTCCATTACCTTTGGTGGGAATTGAGGTCTCGACTCTAACCAGTTCCCTGAAAAGCATCTGGGGTGCAGCCCAAGGCCCCTTTTTTCCTGGTTACGCTTCTGTCCCCCATCAAATGGGACTGCCTGTCACACAGGTCACCCTCAGCCCGACGTGAGCCAGGCTCTCTGGCCCTGCCTCGGGGCCAGTGCTTCCCCACGGCACTTCTCAGCAGGTACAGTGGGAGAGCTGGAGAAAGGCCCGTCCTGAACTTGCTGCTGCACAAGCTGTAGAGGAGAATTGTGATTGCTCACACCAGGAGCTGCACCCACACTCGCAGATAGCCAACGCGGCACGCAGTGACTCAGAAAGAGCTGCACTTTGCACCACCTTCAGAAGCCAAGAAATCCGGACTGATGCACAGTTAGAGGTGCTGGACTCATTGCAGGTGTAAATCCAGCACCAGACAAGAGCCCCAGACCCTACCGAGCTCCCACAGGTGCAGACAAAGTAAAGCAAGGGACCTTTCCCTCCCATTGCCCACAGGAGCCATTGATAGCACTGAACATCCTGAGCACTACCAGCAATAGAAAAGCCAGGGGTTTCTGCCTCTTTCTTTAGGACCACAAATCAATGGAAAAACTGCTGGGGAGAGGTGACTCTGCCCCAGAAGGCTGGAGTGTTGTGGGGCTGGAGGGCCCCAGCAGTCTCCGTGGTTGGTGGAACTCGGAACTGGTGTCCAGGCACCCCGGTCACCTTGGTCCCCCCCCAGGTCTAAACACAGCTCCGTAGCAGTTTTCCCTTCCTACCTGGTGCGAGTGAGGCCTCAGGGAAGGGAGAGGAGGTCTGTGTGCCATGGAGGAGACAGGCTTTAAGGGTGAAGTGGATGGAGCCAGTGCAAGTGACAGCAGCAGGGATGGCACAGCCAGCCAGGTGAGCAAAGCAGAGCCCAGATTTAATTTCACCTCTGAAATGTAGTTTGTGATCAAATTTGCAGAGAAGTAATCTTCCACAGGAGCAGAGCATGTCAGAGAGGAAAGGACTTCTCTTCCTACACACTTCAGCATGTTTTAAAAGGCAACATAAGCTTGTGTTTAAGTCAGTTATGTAAGTGTTACTTTCCAAAAGATGAGTGGAGGAGTTACCTACAGAAATTTGACACGGGGAAAACAGCCATTGCCCTTTGAAAGAGAAAACATCCCCCTCCCTGGACCAGGGAGGTGCAAGTTCAGTGGCTGAGGATTTTGTTTTGCTTTCAAACTGGCTTTGCAGCAGGTCAGCCGTAGTACCTTTCCCATCAATAAAAGCTGTGGATGGAGCAGCATGGCATTACAATGAGCCCATTGTAACCACATATTTCCACTTAACAAGTGACTGCCAGCCCATATTTGATTAATGCCATTAGGAACGAGTAGCCATTGTTTACCTTGTAATTTATTAGAGGAATGATTTCCAAAAGGGACTTCAAGGAGGCACCTAATTCTTATGGACTTCTAATTATACTTGAATATCTAGCTTCATTAAGCACCTCTGAAAACCCAATCTGAAATGACTTGGCAGAAAGAGAAATGTTACTGAGCCTTAGGACAGGGTTTGTCCTTAGCAGTTTTTTAAAGAGAGGATTTGCAATATCTGCATGACCTGGAAGACTAACCTATGGCTTTGGCAATTTGTAGACCACAGAGAAGGATCTGGCTGGTGCAGCGAAGGAGACAGCCTTTGTAACGGGCAGTGAGAGTGCTCCCCCTTGCAAGACCCCGCTCATCTGCTGCGCAGACGGCCTTGATCAGGACACCTTTAAAATTGTGAGCTACTGAATAGAGTTTAGCAGTAGAAAAAGTCAGTGGCATCCCAAGTTCTTGAGGAAGAGGGAGCAAATAAAACTCAGGAGTTTGGCAGAGGAAGCATATAGCAGGACAAGACACTTCATTCTGTAGCTTTCTTCCATGTCTGAAAGTTTTCACCTCATCATTGTTTTTCTCTCATCTGGACATCACACTTTCAGCTTAAAAAAAAACCCAAACCCCAAACAAACCACAAAACAACCCCAAACAACAAAATAATCACATTTCACATACACTGTTCAGTTCCTCAAAACCTATAGTGCTACATGATTGTTTCACATGACACCATGTGCTCCCTGGCTACAGTGGTTTGGCTCCTCTGCACTACTTACACCGCGGCCACAGAACTTCATCTCGCATCGGGACACGACTGTCCCCTTCCTGGTGCATCATGGCATAACCACACGGAGCCCTGGGTACGGCCCAGTGCACATCACGGACTGAAAAAAACCCAAAACAAACCACTAAAAGATGGACAAAAGGAAGGGCATCCAGACACAGTGTTTGCTCCTCGGTCACGTGCGAATGTTTGCAACACATCCTAGGTTTGGCCACAGGAAGAAGCAGCGTGAGAAAAGCAGTAAAGTAGTTTCCTTTCTGCCTCCCTGCAGAACAACAGCTCTTCTGTAGCCTGGAACTTATACCTTTTGTCCAACTGCGTTAAAAAGGAATTCCTAGTCTTGGAAATCCCTCAATTCCCTTTTCACGTCACCTTTGCCCGGGGTGTCACCATCCTTGGGATGTGCAGAAGTGACTCCTGCAGAGCCCTGGGAGCGCCTGACAGAGGCCCTGCTGAGGACCTACATCAGCTCCCCCGTGTCCACACAGACACTCACCAAACACAACACTCCTTCAGTGCTTTCCCAGCCAGCTATTTAATCAGTTTATTTAGTGGAAAGGAATGCTTGAGACCTGGGTTTAAAGCGCTGAATGCCTATGCCAACACTTTTTCTTCACAGTGCAAGGAGCTTTTCAGACCTTTCAAGAAGTCGCTTAGGAAACTGCACCTGCCCCAGCACCTCCCCACAGAGAAAAAACTGAAGGACATGAAGGAAAGCTTGACGGTAATCGGGGACCGCATCGATCTCTTTCTCCAGCGGTACTGCAGAGCCTCGGAAGTGAAGCACTGGCAGAAGTAAGGGTCTCCTCTTACCCGGCACAGGTGGCCCCGCACCAGCGACGCTCCCAATGCAACGGGCTCCTGCCCTGCTGCTCCCAGGGAGCATTTAGAGCCCTACTTGGGCCCTATATATATTTCCAGGCACTGGAAATGAGATTGGGTGGCAACAGCAGAATCGCATAGCTTGCTCTAACTGCTGAATGCTCACAGATTTTGCAGGTGGTTTTAGCAGAGGCCGTGGGGCAGTAGTCCTGCTCGGTGCAAGGCTGGTTTCAATGTGCTGCTATTCAGCAGCATGCCTTTGCAAGGAAAGGGGCTCCTGTGCAGCCACCTGAGTTAATGGATAATCATTCCTATGCTTAGGGAAGAGCAATTTTTCCTAATGAGAACAATCAGCCATTGGAATAATCTCCCCAGGGAAGTGGGGGATTCCCCAACATTGGACACCTTTAAGATTCAGCTGGACAGGGGGCTGGGCCATCTCATCTAGACCGTGCTTTTGCCAAGAAAGGTTGGGCCAGATGATCCTTGAGGTCCCTTCCAACCCGGTGTTCTATGGTTCTGTGACTTCTTTAAAAGTTTATAAGATTTGGGGATGCAAAAAAAAAAAAAAAAAGAAAAAAAGGGGGAAGGCAGGAGGAGAAAAAAAACTGTGCAAAGGCAACATTAGTAGTTACATTCACCAAGCTAGAACTGGGGCGCAGAATGAGGAACAGGATGAAGTTTGTACTCACATGCACAATCCACATCTTTCTTTTCCCAAGGATGTTCTGGCGGTTCATCTCCCTCTTCTCGGAGATGGATGCAAAGCAGCTGCAGAAGCTGCATAAGTACATCAAGAGCAATCGAATGGATAAGTTTCTGGTAAGCAAACAGCAAATTTCAGAGCTCTTCACTGATCTCATGTTTCCAGTCATGCTTTACAGACCAAAACTGATCCACAGAGTTTTATCTGATGATATAGAAGTTAAACTTTGAAACAAATAACTAGTTCAGGTAAAGCCTGTGCTTGCCAAAGCTCATTTCTGTGTCTGAGCATCAGCTACCCAAGGAATCTGTAATGAAGAGTTGCACAAGAACACTGACTCCAAAGGGTTAAACCATTTAAGCACACTCATAATCAACCATAAACGTATCTCCTGAGCAAAGGCTGTGTATACCAGGAAGTTCAAAGGTCCACAAGAAACACATACTTTAAGAAGTTTATTAAAAAGAAATTTAAAACAGATCTACAATTAAATAAAAAAAGGAATCAACTAGGAAGGTGTTTTGAATAGATTAGAAACGAGCAGCAGGCAAGACCTTGTTGGGTTACCAGGACACTGCTTGCTTCACGTTAAAAAGGGAGCTGTGGTCATCTGATAGCTGGCAGTGATAAGGCCATAAATAAGTTTGAGGCCACAGGTAAACAGCTCTGTCCTCCAGTTTGAAAGGGAGAAGCTGGTCACGCAGTTTTTGCTTTTAGTTTACAGGAAAGCAAAACCATTTATATTTATTTTTAAGGCTCTAAAAAGATATTCCAACAACAAGGAAATCAAACCTACTGTAAAGAAAAAACAAACAAATTTCTGTTGCTGGCATGAGACACCCGAGATTAATTGGGAGATATTAAAAAAAGCAACTGGCAGCTCCGGGAAGCAGGCGGCGAGAGGCATTCTTGCTCCCTTAAACTTGTGAGCACTGCAGAGGGGGGGGGGAAATAAATTCAAGCACCATGTCCAGCACGGCCCTTCTCAGAGGCTCAGCCAAGCCCAGGACATGACCTCAGCTAAGGACAAGCCCAGCTGCAATTCCCTATTGCCACCTCAGAACGAGCATTAAAAAGCAAATCACCCCTCTCCAAACGCCTTCCCATCCCCTTGCTCCCCTAAATAAAAACACAACGAAAACACACAAATCCGTATCTTCCTTTCCAAGGCGGTGGGGGGGTAAAACAGCACAAAAAAACAAAAAAAAACAAAAACCCCAACCAAAAAAGTGACTGGTGGGTGACGAGCATGAGCCACGCTGCGTCGTGCGCTGCCGGGACGCCCCGGCGCGTGCTGAGGAGCGTGCAGCGACCTGCAGGCAGCGGCGCTGGGGACGAGGCTGCCTCCAAAAAGGCCGACAGAAGAAGCAACGAAGTCTGCCGTTATGTAACAGTTGACAAATGCCTTTTGTTATGCAAGACAAGTGGGAGAAAAATAAGCATCTTGGCCCTTTGTGGGAAGGGAACAGCAGTCAGCTCCCTGCTAGAGCATAAACAACAGGCTGCCGATATCCTGGGGGGGAACCGGCGTGCTCGGCGCAACAGAAATAGATTATTTGGAAACGCCTCGTTATTTAGATGAGTGAGCATAAAAATACAGAGTCAATACGTAATTAGTAAGCGATGGAGGTTGCCAGCATGGTAAATTGATAATTTTGTGAGTTTTGTTAAAAGAGAGAGGCTAGCAAGCTGCCCTCTGCTAGCTTTGCTCAGCAGTCATCTTCAGATCAAGAATCTATGTCCCCTTCCCTCACAATTGGGCTTTTAGGCTTTTTTATTATTATTAGAAAAAACCCAGCCACATTTGAATTTATACACTGGTCCCAACTTTCAGGTTTTAGATTTATTAAAAATACCAGACCAGACCCACTTCTCAGCTTAAGAGCTAGAACAGAACATCGTCTTCTTTGCAATCCACTGGCTCCCCTACACCGCTGAAAGCTGTAGAAATCAGCCCCACGGCTGAGAGAGTAAAGAAATAAGTCGTCTGGGCTGGCTAAGGCTCTTTTTTTTTTTTTAAAAAAAAAAGGCAAACAGCATGACCACTGACAACACAAAAATTATTTTCCCTGGGATCGCCCAGAAGGATGCGCAGAGCGGGCGGCCGCTCTCCATCCGGCTCCGTGGCACCATCCCACCCCCCTTTTACCGCTCACCGCAGCGACCCAGCGCCACCCCCCCCACCGTCTGCCCGATGCCACAAAGCGACAGTGACATCCAGTGGCAGCACGCCCCCTCCACAGCACCCCCCCGCCCGGGGCACTGGGGCTGAGCAGCACCCACCTCCCACTCCACACACCTGAGCCTTGGTTCAAAACAGAGGCACCGTCCGCTGCCGAGCGGCTCACCAAAGCGCCTGAAAAAAATCACATTCCTCTCACTAGTGTGCTGAGAAAGGGTCTTGCTTTAAAACACTGATTTTGAGGTGCTTGGGTAGAGTGGGCTGGGCGTTGCGCGCAGGGGAGCAGAGGCAGCACAGGAACCAGCTTCGCAGAGGCCAGCAGGACTCGCCGCTGGGTGGGCCGGAGCCTCGGATCCCGGGTGCGAGGAACAAACGCTTTGCAGGGCGAGGATTTGTGCAGATGGTAACAGTCATTCCTCGGCTCGTTGCTGCTGCCACCCAACAGGACCACGGTTAAGCAAGAGTTATTGCCCAAGCATGAGTCAGTGTGTGGTGTTTGCTCATATAAATGTCTTTTAACGTGTTTTTTTTTTTTTTTTTTTTAAAAAAAGGAATTATACTGTCCTTCAGAAAACCTGGATTCAGTTCCAGAACTCAAAGAACAGAAACTGAAGCAGCTTTACATCAGCTGGGGTCTCAGCAGAGGTACAACACACCTGCAGGAACACCAGGGTCAACAAGACGGTCACCACCACCCCATCTGCAAAGTCACCGCCCAGCAGCAAGAATGACAGACGAGAGGTACTTGCAGAGCCAGTGTCATGTTGGCACCAAGCAGGAAAAGCACCTTCCTGCTGAAATGGAGCCACCTACACGTGGCGTTTTTGCAAAAGGATCAGCAGGTGAAGACGCGATCAGTGGAGGAGCTAGAGGAGTTGGGCAGGTTGAACTGCTGTCTCAGAAGAGACAGGGCGAGTAGGAAAAACAGCCACAAGAGAAGCTACTATAGCATAAGGCGGTAGCAAAGAAGGAGAAGACATCCCTTTGTTGGCCCACGTCAGTTGGTGTTAATGAGTGTGTCTTTACACAGCAACCTGGATGCTCAAAACATAGTTGTGGTTTGCCTTTGGGCCCACCCAAGCAAAGCCGCACGCGCTTGGTCTTCTGGAGCAAAAATGCAGACCAACCTGTAGCAGGCGTGTTTGCTAACCAGAGTCACTGGCTGGCTGTTTACTCCAGCCAGAACTCCGGCATATGCAAACCCCGAAGGTGGAATGAGAAAGGGACATAAAAAGCAATTGCTGACGAGATCGGCTTTGCCACAAACAGGTGCAACAGTCTGCCTGGGGAAGGAGGATTTGTCCCACATAAGCCTATTTTCAAGCTGCTAAAATGCAATCACATGTCCTGTGGGAGTTCTTATGCACTCATAACCATCTTGCTTTTCATCATTTTTCTCCCCAGTCTATTTACCTCTAAAGAAGTCCAATCTGGTATGTAACAGCTCTGAGGGTGCGCTGAAAATCCAAACTGATCAACTCAAAAGTCAAAAAAACAAGAGCTAGCTAGACAGCGTGATCTGGGAGGCTGAGTAGGAGTCCCACACTAACCTGCCGGCTGTGCGGCTCCGAGCAATCCTCCTCCGCTTGTCTGCTCCCCTCCAAGAATGGGGAAAATACCACCCAACCGATTCTTACGTAGACAAATGCACCAGACACACAAAACGCCTGAAATACTAAAAATGAGCGCGATTGCCACGTCATGAACGGAGCAAGGGTTTGGGACTGGGGTTGTTCGAGAGCCTGAGTGGTGAGCCATCGGGAGCAGCCTGGTGTAGCTACGTATTTCTGGTGACAACGTATTTGTGGGATTGGACCGCATGCAGAACCCACCCCGTAAAGCCCCCAGAGGACAGCTTGGGCACACTGCTAACAGCTCCTGTAGGAAATACAGCCCCTCAGAGGAGTTCAGCACCTTCCATTTACTTTGTGTTTTTTTTTTTTGTTGTTGTTTTTAAGGTTCCCAGACAACTTCAGAGGTCAACAGAAAGACAGAAATCAACTACTACAGTATCATCACCTGAACAAAAAGCAGGGAATAAAGACAGTCTCCATGGTTTCCCGAAACCACAAAGCACTGACACACTTGCAGCATCTTAGCAACAAGCTTCAACCCAAGCAAAATGAAAATTATGTTATTTTAAACCTTGTGAGCTTATTTATTATTGTCCTGGAGTTTCCTAACAGCTGGGCAGCAGCTTTGAGACTTGATCAAGGATGTGTAAGTACCAGCCTTACCTTTACTACCTCTTTCTCTTTGTATAAACCCCAATAATGGAAGAACAGCGTCTGTAAGGAAAGAGGCAGCTGCTCCTTTCCTTGCTATGGCAGAAACCCTCCTCTGAGAAGAGCAGGGGCTGCTCCCCAGTTCATTCCTACTCAAACATACGTGCACACACATGCAAACATGGTCAGCAGCTGTACTGCCCGGGGAGGAGGCAACGGAAGAGGAAGGGAAGAGACCGCTGTATGGAAAATCTTCTGCTAAAAAAAAAGTTTCCTAACTTGTACACATACACTGACCATTTCTAACTGTTCTAGGCAAATAACGGCCACGAACCCGTACGCGCAGCAGCGTTCTTGGCAGATGCAGCAGCTGCCATCCATCGATCCAGACCGAGATGGCTGGAGCCCTGTTTGCTGCTGCTGCAGGAGGAGGCTCATCCGAGAGCTAACGCTTCAGGAGAGGAACAGTGAGAAAAAAGTAACAAAAGGGGCTGGTTTGGGCTTTAGGGTTGCCTAGATTTGATTTATGGTGGAATCCAGGTTTTAAGAAAACATCAGAAACACCAATAGCTCGGCATGGAAATCTTTTAGTCTGACCAGTGGAAAAAGACCACAAAGATCCTTCCTACATGCTAAAAATCAGATGGTCAGATAGGAGGCTTAGGTATTGTCTTCATATGTGGACCCAAGCAAGAAAAATCTCTCCTAGATCCCTTTGGAAGGGCAGACAACACAGGCCATTTTTAGAACCAAGACAACAGATTTCCTTTTTGAATGGCATCTTGGACCACATCCACAGACCTTGGCAAGCGACTGAAGTCCCTGGCTGTGCTGCCCGCGGAGGCACCGCTGCCAAGCGTGCACACAAAATTGTTCCCGAGAGGTTGTGAAGGAGAATGTCACGCGTCGCCTTCACCGGGCAACAGATTCGGCTCCCTGCGTTGGGTTTCGACGTGCAAAAGAGCAGACGCGCAGCTATACTGGGACCCTAACCACTTGTGTGGTGCAGGCCTGGTTCAGCAGCAGAACACGAGGAATTCTCTGAGAGTAACACAATATTTCTTTCAGCCAAAGGTTTTGAGCTTTCTCCATAGCACACGCTGTATAAACCACATCTCGTATCGCACGCAACCGCATTAGAAAAATACTGTACGCCCTCAAAATGTCACACTTATTTAAGATGAAACTGAGCAAGATTAAAGCCTGTTCAAGACTGGGATTATTCTTCAATTTTTCCAGTAGGACGTGAGGTGACTTAGAAGTGACAGGAAAGCTCTCAAGGAAAACTGAGCTCTGCCAGAAATAACTTTGGTTTCCTGACCAGACGACGCGAGCAAAGAAAGGCAAGAGAAAAGATTTCACCTTTGGAGGTCCCTGCGCTAAACGTAGGATGGGAAAAACCATCGTTAGAAACTAGAGGATGCATCAGTGCCACGCACGCAGCATTACAGGGCTTGCTTTTTCCTGGTGTTTAATTTCGGGAGCTGGTGGGCTGCGGTGCTACCCCAGCAGACTCGCACAACTGCTCTGCTTGTAGTGCTCAGTGCACATCTCCTACCTGGGGCTGTTTGCTCTTTTCCATTGAAACGGAGCATCAGGGAATTCATGGAAGCGTTGCACAACCTCAGCTTTGGCTCTTAAAGGAAGTAGGGTTTTCATGCGTTTTATTAAAGTGCCAATGCGTAATGTAGAACCAAAGAAAAAAAAGGACACAAAATCCCATTTCCCCCCACCAAACCACAGCCTGAAGGGATGCAAGCAGAAGCCATTGTTGGCAGCGAAGTTCAGAATAGTAAAGCTCATATTTTATGCCATAGGAAGCAGAAACTTTGTTCAGTGGGAAACAAAAGATGTCAGGAATAAGCAGAGCTTGTACGGCCTGCAGCAGTGACGCCTCGTGGCGGCCGGTCCCCTGGGACAGCCACCCCCAGGAGAGGAGCCGCCCCTGGCAGAGGCACGAGGCTTTCTGCCAGCCAGAGAGCTCCCCGTGCTTCAGAAAGTCCAAGGGAGCACTTTTCTTAATTCTTAGCAAAACCAAATCCAAACCACCCGGAGACAAACCAGCCTCCTGCAGCAGCTCACCTCGGGCCAGTTCTAGGGGAATTGCAGTTACATTTTGTCGGTGGGAGGAAGAGCATGATCCTGCCTGATGTCAGGGGTTTGGTCTTTGCTCAGACTAACCAGGGCAAGAAAGTCATTACTGGGAGGCAGCTTGTCCACAGCTTCATTTGTTAGCTCCTCAAAAATCAACAGTACGGCCTCATACCTCTGTTTTCAACACCAGGTTACCTTTACCAGGGCAGGAACAGTTTTGGGGTTGCTGTTGTTAATTCTTCCTTCCTATCAGCCGAAACGAATAGACTTTTTACTGAGCCTCCTGTTGTTGGTTTGTGCTTGGTAGTTTGGCTGCAGCACTCCCCAAATGTCAACGCTTCCCTGGGGAAAAGAGAAAGAATTGAGAAAGTTGCAGGAACATGTGCAGATGTCGAGGGACTTGCATCTTTCACCCATTTCAATGTGCACAGATACGACGGATCGGGCTACACAACTGCGAAGCCACGGTCCTGAGGACTTCGGCCTCAGCACCTCTGGAGTCATTCTCGTTTTACAGGAGGTGAACCCGGCACAGAGCCCTTACCTGGGTTCCTCAGGGTGCAGCACCTTTGAGTTGCGCTCAGTCTCCCAACACCTGGACGAGTTTGAAGGCATTTTTGCTTTTGAAAACTGAAGCCACAGACCTGTGAAATGAGGAGAGGCCTCTGCCTAAGCCCCACGCGCAACCAGAGGGTTATAAGTCATTTACAGGCAAACTGAAAATAAATAACTCTCATGTGATGGTTTAAAAGTAAAAGCTCCTAGAAATGCTGATTTCCACCCCCTCCTACGCGCAGGCAGCCACACGAGGTGCTTTTGTGCCCTGACTGCTCACTTGCACGACAGACTTTGTGTTCCCGTGGCTACTTTAGGGGGAAAAAAAAGACCAACCAGCAGGGAAGGATCCCTGTCTGACAGCTGACGAGGGCTCCCAACCTCCCGGGGTTCACACCTCACATGTACCCGACAGGCTCTGTCAGCCACCGCCGTGGCTCACAACCGCCCCCTGCGACCGTTTCCCCGTAAAAGCCGGCATTAACTTCATTTCGCACCCACAAGAGCACCCGGGTATTGAGGAGGGCAGCAGGTGCCCGGATGAACACGTGGCAACCGGCACGCGTGGTGTAGCAAAAGGTGAAAGTCTTCACAAGTGCCATTAAGAACCAGAAACAGCTTCGTCGTGCATTTGCTTCCCCCCCCCAAAACGCCCGCAGACTGCCCCACCCCAGCGAAACACAGGAGATGTGTGTGTGTGTGTGTGGGGGGGAAATGTTTTTTTCCTGGATCCGGACACCACTGCGAGCCACAGGAAGCACCATCCAAAGACTTATTACAGACCTGCTCCACGGACCAGGGCAAAACCAGGCGGTGCCCATCGATTCCCTGAAAGCTGCCTGCTGCTCCCCCCGAGGCCTCGCTGGGCGGCTGGGACACAGACGCCTTCCGGGAGCTTTCACAGAGCTGGAGAGTGGCAGGAGCCTGGATTTTGTCTGCCTGAGATGGAGTTAATCTTCCCCCCAGCAGCCCTCACCCTGCCGTGCATGCACCCGCTACGCCTCCCGACACGCTGCTTCCCCTGAAGCAGCCGGGCATCGCCTGCTCATGGGAAATGCAGAATAAAACATTCTGATTTCCTCTGCTTTCGCTTTATTAAACTGTCCTTACCTGTACGCACCAAATCATTCGCTATGTTCTCTCCCCCCTGCCCGGCTGAGGAGGGGGAGCGATAGAGCCGCGCGGCTCTGCGCCGGCAGGCAGCTTTTCGGGGAGTTTCCAGGTAAATCTGCATAAATGGTCAGTCAAATTATCAACAAGACAAGTTGAGAAGGGGAAAAAAACAGAACCAAAAGGAACCAGGGCACCTTTCTGCATGCAGGCGCTCTCCCCTTAGCGAGTGCGTTCCTGGGAACCGGCTCTGCTCCGTGGGAAGAGCCAGAACCGCCTCCTCGTTCCAACTCACCACATTTCAGCTTAAATCTGGTGGTGGATTCACAACGCTGCCGAGCACGACCTCCTCCCTCAGCAAGGGAAGGAGGTTTTTCCTCCTGGGGGTGTGCAGCTTTTTGGGCTCGTTTTAAAAATCCTGTGGCAGTCAAGCATCAAGAGCTGAAGGCATTCTGGCACACAGACATTACCACACCGACACAGGGCAGTCCGAATAACGGAGCTGTAAACACCACTCCATCTGCTTTGGGAGTGCACTGTCTAGAAAGTCTTATTTAAATACAGAGAATAGGAAAAGCTAAAGCCATCATAAACCTATAGCCCGGTTTCATTAAGTGCTCCTGGATTTTAATTCAACTGCTGGAGTATCAGAAGATCCTTGGTGAAAAGGCAACCGCGTTTGCAACTCAATATGAAGACTGTCAAACACAAAACGAAGGGGCCAGCTACCCTGAAAGCACCCCCAAAGCCGTATGATCAGACGTTTATGGAAACCAAATCATCTTCCTCAAGGAAAATTAAATCAGCCTGGTACAGCTTCTTCCAGGAATGGAATCGGAAGTTCCTCAACTGCTGTTTGTTCTGGTTTGGAAGTGAACTGGCTAAACCGGGCGCAGGCGGGCTGTGCGACCCCCAGCCTGTCCCCCCCCCCCCCCGGTGTGGGGCGAGGAGGTGGGAGCTGCGCCGGGACAAAGGGAACCTTGGCCCGACAGAGCCGAGGGAACGACGAGCGCAGACCCGCCCCAGAGCTGCCCCCAGATCAACTGGACTCGCAGCCTTGCTCAGCGCTCACGGGTGGACTCAGCCGCTTCCACAGAGGTTACGGTAAGGCGGGGGGGGAAGGGGGAGCAAGAGGGCAGGCAGCGAAAGCAAAGTTTTAACCAAATTCCAGGCAGATACTTCAAAATGCGGGAACCACTATATTTATTAGGTCAATATTTCATTTTAGCAATACAATTACAGAATATCACAAGGCTGGTTACAAACATAGTATGGTTTGATGGTTACAAAGAATGTCGGGCACTGCCGTCTGTGAGGAGGAGGATACGAAACGTTAGTCTTGACATGACAAGTGGGGTGGTCGTCAAAGTCTAGTGATGATCAAGATACTCTCATATAAATGAATGTGGCACTACAGGCAGAGATTCGGGTTCAGAGGTGGCTTCTGTGTAAGTAGTTCAGTTTATACAGTTATACAGTTCAAGCAACATCTTTTTTTTTAAAATGCTATTAAATTAAAATCCCCTGTAGTTCAATAAAGTATAAAAATAGTACTGAACCTGGCAATATTCAATAAAATGTAGAGTTCATTCACATCATTAAGTAGTAAAGAAATTGTAAAGTTGTAGTTACCATGGCAACATCGCTTCCCATAAAGGAATATACATAAAAGAAAAAAGTTACACATATGGTACCTGCGACAATTATTTAGCGATCCAACACTGAACTTGTGCACCACAAACCAAGTTTCTAAATATCTCTATATATTTATATAGTATATATCTTTTTCATCTTAAAATTTACTTCTGGAAAACAAAAAAAAAACAAAAAAAAAAAAAAAAAAAGAAAATGTGCACTTCAACAAACTCACTAAGGCCACTCATGCTATAGATACCTAGGATTGCAATGAAATATTGTTAAACAAGACCCGAGAGCACGCACCTTTCTATCACCGACGGGGAAACCTGTTTCACTGCCTAAAACATTCCTGAGATTTAGGGACAAAAGCGTTACCAGCACCGCCAACTTCTCACACGCCCTTGAGTTTATTTCTAGATAAAGGAAATTTCTTCCCTGCTTCTCACAGAAATCCTCGCGAGGCCAAGAAACACAACGTGCAACAGGCCCGTCGTGTCAGACAGGGAGACCCCCGCCCCGGAGAGCCGGATTTGCAACCAACGCTTGGCCAGTTGTTATTATAAAAGGGGAGGAAAAAGGGAAACGATGACCTTTCGGTAAAATAAGGTTTCTGCCCAGGCAGCAGAGGGAGGGATCTCGGTTTGAAGACTGGGAACGGCAGCAGCTCCCCTGCACCATTTGCTGCCACCCTGTGAAGTCAAATCCGATCCAGACAAATCAAGTAAAGTTTTTGTCAATAGCTTCAATCATGTTTTAGGCACGATGCGTTTTCCTTTTTGTACTCTGCCAACACGTAGGACTACAAAAAGGAAATCAAGTTAAATGCGCATTTTTTGTACCATGAGAAGCAGCGCAATGGCACCTTGAGCAAATCTCAGACTGCAGCACATTTAAAGAAAAACTTCATTTTTAAAGTTACAAAAGAACATCGTTGTCCTAATAAGTTAGAATTCAACAACAAAAACCCTTCAAAATAACAAAATCTGTGTGCAAAAAGAAAAAAAAAAAAAAAGTCTTGAACAAAAGGTATCGCTACAGAGTAAAGAGCGCACGTGAAGACACGGACACGCGGCAGACACTTCCTGCTTGTAATCCACGTCACGCAATAAAAGCGACCGAACGACTGTTTGGGGCCAAACAGTCACGATGTGTTTTACTTCAAGTAGCTGAGGGATCCATTTAGTTTCAAATCTCTTACTGCGACTTGCCTCTTCCCCTTTTGCCAGCTCTTAAAATCCTGGTGTCCTGTTCCCTTTCCGTAACAAGTCACCCCGAACAGCCCCGGGCCCGGGAACAGCGCAGGAATCCTGCCATCACCTTCCTCCCTCTCTTTACCAACTGCAGGGTTTGCATAAAACAGGACATACAAATGACCGATTCCACCAACATTATGCTGAAAGTAAAATATTAAGGGTTTAATTTAAAGAATATTTAATTTTCTTTAAGGTGACACCTGTCCTCACCGCTGGCATCTAATTACTCTGGTGTGATTAAACGACTTACCTTCAAGAAAAACTCAGAAGATTTATTTCACTGGGTTTCCACCCACAGGTCTCCCCCTTTAACGCCAGCACCCGACGGCACCTGCACAGCGAGCCGTGGGTGCGCTGGGCGTCTACAAAATGCTGATCATTAATTAACTTTCTCTAGTGTTTCCCAGTTGGCTACTTGAGTGGGGGGGGGCACGACCCGGGTACAGCCCTGGCCCTGCCTGCTCCCGGCTCCCAGCGGGGACAGGGAGGTGCAGGGGGCAAGTTCTGCCCTGGAAAACTCCACGGAGAACGTCGGGGATTACACCCTCTGCTCCTTCAGCTCTGCCTGGTGCAGCAGTCAGGGGACAGTGAGGTAATACTACAAGCTCTACTCCAACCACGCTGGCGCGGAGGGACAAGTCATTCACTTCCCTCTGGGGTCCTCCAGTGGGAGTCCTGCTTTCCCCAAAACACCGACCTGGAACAGCAGGGGCAGTAACAGTAATTATCCACTAACACCACGTTCCAAATAGTCTCCGGCTGCCAACACAGGCATCTTCCGAGAAGACCATTTAGGAGACACAGAAGCAAACACTAGAGAGGTCAGGTTTATGTTCCTAAACGGAGAGGAAGTACTACAGCTGCAGCAAGGCAAAGGTTCCAAGCTACGGCACGCAGCGCGGGCAACGGAGCATTTTGTAGGCAGCTGCAGAGTTGTTCTGCAAACCTCCTCTGCTTTAACAGCTTCAGCCGTCAGCCACAGCACACCTTTCTCCAGAATTTACGTGCCTTGGCAGGACTGGAGCCGTGGAAATGCTACAAGGAGTCCAACCAGGATTTAATTCAGTCGCACGAAAAACACGCTAGCGGTCCTACCAGGATCGCTGCAGCTACTCTTGGCTAAGTCACATTTTTTTGGCCAAAATCCATTATCAGACAGAGTTCTGGGTGATTTAATTCCTTCCAGACAAGCCAATGCACCACAGTACACCACGTGCTGGTGAAACAGCTTTAGGAAAGAAAGAAAAGTACCTCCACCCAGCAAGGTTTGAGAATAAAGCTACCGATGAAACAAACTGAACCCATACGTTTGGTTATGAAACAGAAAGGTAACATCTCCCCAGGCTGCCCCGTGTTGGAAGCTCTCCTGGCTGCCCGAGCTGGAAGGCAAACCGTGAAACACGTACGCAAACCAGCAGCGGTTCAACAGAGACCACTTCCCCTGGTATCGGCCCAAAATGCTCCTCATCCCAAACGCAACCCCTTGAGATCTTTGAGGTTCCTCAGGCAAAAAGCTGGAAGGGGACACCCAAGCCTGGAAACCCTGAGCAAATCAACAGTTTCCAGGCAACGTACGTGTAAATCCAGTTTGAAGCTTTTAAACACTTTCGCAGTGCAGAAATCACACAGCTGCCTTAGGACAATTTTAAGCACATCTCCCCTGCCTCAGTTCTGACACTGGTGCTACATACCTCATTCAATTTAAAAATAGTTTTAATAGGACTTAAGAAAAGAATTCAGAAGAACTTTATCATTCATCAGTGCCCTGCTCTATGGGCTGTATGTTTTGCCTTGTAGATAGCTGTAGAACCTAAAGCTGTCAAACAAAAATTGCTATAAATAAATTAGATTTTAAATCCATGCATAAGTTGGATTTTCATGGAGGATATACTGCAGTCTACGTCTTAATACCACAGGGGGTTTTAAGCAAATACTTCTTTTCATGTCAGTGAAGATATTCCAAGCACACAATCATTACATCTGCATTCGCTAACTACACAACTGTATTTTAAAGTTGGTATTATTCAGCCTTTCCCCCCAAAATATACTTGAAGGCACCAGTATACGAACTATCGGCCTGTTAAAATTTCAGTTCTTAAGAGAGCCATTAAGCTCAAAGCTGTGTCTGAAATCTCTATTTCTCTGCACTCTTTCCTTGAAGACCAACAAGCAGCTTTTTCTGTCCCAAGCTTCATAAAGAAATTAAAACCCAGACCCCAAACAAACCATCCAGTCCAAGTCTCGCCGGAGCCGTGCTTGCCGAGCTCAGCCTGGACTGACCTTCCACGGCCAAGTTAAACCCCTGAAAATAGGGGGGGAAAGGGAAAAAAACCCAAACTGACAGATTTCTAACTATAGGAGCACTGGTTGTGCCGCTATAAGAAGAACTGAGGTAACAGCAGTGAGTTGTTCCTAGTTTGTTATGTTACACAGACTTTCAAATGAGTATTACCTCAACATAAAAAAAAAAAAAAAAAAACAAACAAAAAAAAAAAAACCAAGAAAACCCCAAACCAACAACAAAAAAACAGAACACAAAACCAAAAACAACACCCAAACCAAAAAACCCCCACACAACCAAGCAGCCCCCCAACAGAAGAAAAATTAAGACAAGCTAGTGAGATAGGCATTATTAAAGGAGCTTTACAGCTGACTTCTGCTTTTTAAATTAATATAAAGGAATCAGTTTCTGGTTATACTGTTGTTTAATGTAGAAATGAAGCATCACAAAGAAAGACCTGTTGTGCTTTTTGGCATTTTCCGCTGACCCCTGCAAACTGTACAATAAGTTGTGTTCTCCAGAAACATAAAATCGAACTGGATTGTAATACAAAACTATTAACTGGTATAAACAAGTCACTGCCTCGATTCTTAGAGTAAGCCCATTCAAAAAGGAAAAAAAAATTTGCTGCAGCAAATAGTTAAGCGTTTCTAGTTTTTGCTTGTGGCATTGACATTAATATCTGTAGAAGCTCACTAGGTAAAGACATGCCGTCGCAACCGCTAAAGAACGTTCACTTCCTAGTTTTGTATCTATTACATGAATATAATTTTGCACTGATCATACATCTAAATGAAATAATTCTACTGTAAAAGTGAATGCAGGGGCAGAAATATTAAATTAAAGCCACTGGTCCAAAAACTGTTTCTAGCAGGCTGGTCCACTCGTGATTTTCCTGGTCCTGTTCAGAAGATTAGCACTCTTGGGTGGTACCAGAGAACACTAAGATCGCTGGTCTACTGGATCTTCTATCGCTTCTAGATGAACACTGGTCCAGTTCAGGATATGAACAACAACATACGGTGGTTACTCACTGAGCAGCCTATCGGGGTTCTCAGACTATGTTGCTCTCCAAAGTGGTTCTTTGCCACTTCTCTTCGTAAGGCAGCAGCCAAGGCTAGGGCATCCTCCCTTTTCTTGAGATTTACGATTAGCTTTGCTACAACGCATACAGCAGAAAGACCCTTCTCGCGTAACTTCTCACAGAACAGCACTTATTCTTCTATAGATCGGAAGAAAGCTCTTGATGAAACCTTCCATTCATAATAACAATGCAACTCTTTTGAACTCAAACAGTTTTATTTAATGTTTTCTTGCAGACTTTCTGCAAAGTAGCTTCTTTTGAAAGAAGAAAGAAGGGGGTTTTTGGGAATACCAAGTTAAAAATGTGAGCCGAACTAAACATGCCATACACATGCTGATAAGAATTTAACACACATTCATCCGTATGGGCACTCTTCAGTAGACTGGACCAGTGTTTCAATGCAAATTCCAGCCCCCAGAGAACTACATGGTTTAGATTTCACAGTATGACTTTTCCCCCTGTAACCTGGGGGAAAAAACCTTAACTGGTTAACTGACCGAGTTCTTAGCTACCCTGTCCATCAACGTTCTGAGACATCAGAAAAGACTGGACCACTTCTTCAGTGGATTGAGGGCTGGTGCTTACGTCCTCCAGAGCATCTGTAACGGAGAACTGCCGATCCCGCAACCGGTTCCAATTGGCCAAAATATTGTGGTATTCAAAAACCTTCTCGTAATTGCCAATGGAATTGTACAGTTTAATGAGACCTCTGTAATCATATTCGAGTCCACTGTATCCTTCACCAAAAAGCTTCTTTCCTAAAGAAACACAGAAGAAAACAACATTAAGAAGGTGATCCACCCGTACGCTGCATCTCATTTCTTATGCAAGTTTTACCCGCAACATGAATCTTTTTGTTACGGCAAAATATCACATTCCTGTTACAGTAAATCAAGAGCACAAGCAACCTGCAAGCTTCCTGGATGATGGTTTGAATTCTATCTACCTTGTCCTTTAAGGGTATCGTAGCTTGTCCTCGGGGACTCTACGATCAGATCCTTAATTGTACTACAGCCTCACACGCATAAAAATCCACCAGTTGTATGAAGACAAACATTTTGTGTCCGAAATTCACATTTAAACACTGAAGTTCATCTTCAGTTTTGTACTTTAAAATCACAGGCTTTCCTGTAACACACCGTATATAACCGTGCAAAGTAAGATTGTCTGTCTCAAAAATGAGCTACGGCATGGCCCAAAGATGCATTTGATTTGGAATTATAAGTTCACTGCAAACGACAATGGGCAAGCAAAATATTTAATGAGAGATCTGTCAGGCTGACAGGCACAACAGTTTCCATTTATTTCAAAATTTAACTACGTTCTGCACTTAAGTTTAAGACACCACTCCAAAAATGCAGGCTAAAGACTAGCACCCAAGTTTTTAATTAGCCAGTTTCCAGATGCTTTCAAGCGTGAATTCTGATGGAACACTGAAAATAATACAATTCCAGAATTCAGTCCCTGGGAGAACATTCAAGAAAAAGCATTATATTTAGATTGAAAACATCTTGCATTTCATTAAGTTCTTTACTAAAAACTTGAGTAGGCTTTTTATTCATGTTTATAGCACGTTTAATACTATACGAGAGTCACACATCGTACAAATCACCTACCAATTGCTATGGATCTCAAATAAAGCTTTTCAGCATTTTCATATTGATTCATATCATAGTTATAGAGAGAAGCTAGGTGGCCCACTGACAAGGCAACTTCATAATCTTCTTGACCTAGAAGCTGCTCCTTAATCTGAATTGCCTTGATGTGCATTTCTTCTGCTTCCTGTGAGGATCAAATTCACAGAGGTTAGTCAGACACCACTCACCGGGACATAAAAAGAAGGAAAAAAGGAAAGCTTAAAGGAATACGTAGTGGCTAAACAGGCTGTGGTATTTCGTAAGAAGCAAAAAATAAGAAAGCCAAAACCAAATCAAGTTCTCCAAATCCTCAGTCAAGTGGATCAAACAGCATCACTTTTTCTGTCATCAAAAATCACTGCCGCCCGGTCCCTGAAGGCATCAGGCACCTTAATGGATTATTTTTGCATAAAACTTTGGAGAGATGACCCATAAAGCACAAGTTTCCCAACCATAAAACTACCAACAGACGTTATGAATTGTGGACGCTGAAAATCATCATTTGTTGCGACAGATTCATAGATGTCTTGCAGATTTTAAGTCGAGACCTTTCCATCCATATGCTCTTACCTTAAACTTTCTCATGGACTGATACAGTCTTCCAAGGTTGCCGTAGTGTTTTGCCGTCTGTACATTAAACTCCCCGAAGGCTTTTTTAGCTAACTGGAGTGAGGACAGATGTAAGTCGTGAGCTTCTTGAAGTAACCTCTGCTCAGTTTCCTTGTTGTGACAGTCTATTGCAATCTCCTCCAGGATAAGTGCTGAGCGTAGGAGAGAAAAACCAGCGTTACTGTGTTCCAAAGCCAGAGAGGTGTTAACTGTAGGCAGCAGAAACCCACTGACGCGGGACATCTCGGGAGACATCTGATCAGCTTCTGTGTTTATAAGAAACTGCTTCCAAGCAGGTACAGCCAGAATCAAACTCCAAACATACATTTTTACGTTCCGTATTTTTACCACTCCCCGTCCCCCCAAAAAGGCTTCCAGCTACATTTTTTTTGTATTTTACAAGCGTGTTAACAGAGAACACTGAGGACAAATCGTCTAGAGTGACGTCCAGTTGAGAAAAAAAAAAACAAAACAACTCAAGTTACTTTGCCTCTGGTAGGGAACAGGATAAACATCTGAATGACTGGTTTCAAACTGTCCCAGTAATGCGACGAGGGGTACTACCTTTAACTCTCTTTGAAGATGCCAAGAGGAGATGGTCTTCTGGGAGAATGTGAGTTATAATGCCAATAGCACGTTCAGCATGGAATCTGAAAAAAAGAGTTTAAATAAAAAAGTCAAGATACAGAAGATACAGATATGTAGAGTTAGCAGCTGACTGATAAAGAGTGAGAAACATTAATGCAGTAAAGAGACGCACTGAAATTCTAATTGGGAAGTCCGTATCATTTAACAGCATTTTTCTCCATTTACGGTACTAAATTTGCTGCCAGTACCTCAAACAATCGTACTCACAGTGCATTGTCAAATTTTCCAGAGCTGTACTGGTGAACATATGAAGAGTAAGCCAAGTCTTCATGAGCTGTAGCTACATGTATGTTTTTACCTCCAAATACTGACTGCCGGATATCAAGAGCTGTCTGAAAGAGTTACGAGAATACCATTTCATCAGTTAATACAGAAAAAAAACCTCAATGAACCTCTCTCTCTGTTAAAAAGGGGAAAAAAAAAAAAAGGGCAATATACTGCATCTGAAACTCTGGAGGCCTATACCTACACACTTGAGGCAGTAAATATATAAAAGCCACTTAAGAGCCGGGGTGGGGGGAAGCTAAAACCCATAGTTGGGGGTGGGTTGTTTTGTTTGTTTTTAAAACAAGCATTGCAGTCATTAAATGAAGTATTACCTATCTCTCTGAATTAACTATATGAGTTACAGTAGGAATATTTGAGACATTATGAATATCAAGAGAAAGCAAAGACAGACAATACCTGATAGATTGCAACAGATTGGCATATATTGTCTACGTTGAGCAAGTAAAATCCATAGTCTAGTAGCGTATCCGAGTATTTGGGGTGCTTGGCTCCAAAATGCTCCCTGTAGAAACACACTTATATTACAAAACTGAGGCAAGTTAAGCCAAATTTTAAAAGTGGGTGTTTTTTTTTTTGAATGCTACTTACCGGGCAAGGTATACTGCATGTTTGATCAGCTGTTCAGCCTTCTTAAATTCACGTTTTACAACACAAGCCTAAACAGGTTGAAATGAAGCATATGAAAAGGTGTGTAACCTCAGAACTCATGTCCTCCAGATACCGGCCCAATTGCTAACTACTATTTTCAATTTCAAAACATCATCATAGTTATTAAAGGACTCCTCAGTTATTTAAGAAAAGGTTCACAGATAACATAAATAAACTTCTATTTTATTCTGCCAGAAACGCCTCGAGGGCCAATATTGTACCTAGTCCAAATCAAAGAGGGGAACAGATCACCTTTTTTTGGAATGCTCTCAGGTTAACCCTGTCATGATGTTCATCTGAACAGCTGTAACTCAGTTCAGGAAGAAGGAAAAAAGCAAAACCCCCACAGGTCTGACACCAAGGTGGAACAATTAAACACAAATAACAAGTCATAAGGCTCATAAAACAGACCTGGTTACCCAATTCTGGAGGTACTACCGATCCTCACCCATTCTTGGTAGCAATTTAGTTACAAAAGAAACATGAAGATTTTAAATTCACCTTTGAAGCTTGTCGTAAAACATCCACTACTACTTTTACAGGCAGGCCAACTGTGATCTCCTTCATAGCTTCTATACACCATTTATAAGCCTGTTGAACAAAAAGTTACCACCATAACAAAGCCGGAACTTTATTACATCACAACAGTAAGAAAGGTTTTAGTTGGCTCTGAAAAGTAAACTAGCTGTTTAAGTCACAAAATTTAAAAAAAATCTGCTTGATTGCTTATGTGTAATGAAACTTGTTCAGCTTAGTCTTAAAAGACAGACTTAAAAAGCCGTCTTACGGATAATACTGAACGTGTAAGTATTTTATACTAGCCTGTTACGTATTATTACAGAGACTGTATTGTCTTTTACAGACAAAAAAGGGTATTTTCTAATCTTCAAGTAATCCTCACAATTCCCGTTGTGTAGGACAGCTTCCTGATCAGTGTGGTCAGGAGCTGAAGGAAAACCGCAGTTTATAGAATGGTTACACTTACATCACTGGTTTTTATAAAACAGGTGCAAAGAATTGTTACCTGGGTTCTACTGTTCATTTTTACCTATTAAAATAAGCGTTTTATAGTATTTCCATTACAAATTGGTAGTATGTATTGGTTACTCATCACAAGTAATTTCTTCATGTTGGTCAAAGTACCATTAAGAGCTCAGACTAACTCAGAACAATACATGGAAAGAAAAGCTGATAAATCAGCTATTCCTCAGGTACTGCCACGCAGGTGCCAAAAGGAATCAGGAACTCTAGCTAGAAAGAGAGTGTGAATAACGAGCCAGGCATGGAACGTCCTAGCAGATTTCATAAGCAGTTTTCTGAAGAAAAACAACAACAAAATCCCACTCACCTCATCATAGTGGCTCTTGGCAAAGAGCAGTGCGCACAGCTCCCCGTAGAGCGCTGCTTTGTTTGCTTGCTGACCGTGTTTTGCAAGTTTGTCCATGTAAGACTGAGCGAGTTTGAATGTTTCTTCTCCCAAGTGATATTTACAGTTACCGTTTCGAACATGCAGCAACCTTAAGAGGATGTAAAGAGTTCTTCTAAATGGTGCCCGAATGAGCCATTTCAATATACAACATGGATCTACAATTTGGTATTATACTTACACTAGAACCGGGCTGTCATCCCAACAAGACTGCACTGTCTGAATTCAGTGAAACAGAACCATTTACAGAATACTGTTTCACTGCACCATTCTCTGTCTCTGGCACGGCAAGAATTTTTACTGTTGGAGATGTCAAATGATTGTACATCTTGATTCAGTCTGACATACCCAATGCTTGAACCACTTTGGTGTGGTGGCTTTGTGCTTTATTTTTTATAAAAGCCATGTTTCTCAACGCTTATAAAATGCCATTTCCAAAATCCTATAATATACAGTATTAAATCCCTTCTACCTCCTCTCCAAAATATGGTAAACTGGAACAGACACTGAGTAAGTACAGACACAGCTCGCTTTCATGCATCGCTGCAATTTTTGTTTTGGGGGTTTAGGGCGGTACAGAAGCGCGGTGTCTTCACGTAAGATTCAATCACATCCATTCAACGTGACACCCAGCGCTGACTGAGCCCCACTAGAGAAGACTACTTTGTTGACCCAGTTCACAACAACTCGAAAAAACCTCTCCCCCCACTCTGCCCCATCTCCTAACCCGCCGCCTTTCCATCTGAAGAATTAACAGAAGCTTCGTGAAACAAGAGCCAAATGCAGACAATAAAGCACAGCACTGTTGAAACATACTGTTGTTTCTCTAGAGAAGTAACAATTTCAGCTTCTGGCATCTATTTAAAACACAAGGGAAGAACTTTTTTCATTGGTGTAGGCTGATGCTTATTTACTTGAAAGAGGTACATTAGAAATGTGTGTGTTATCATATTCCAAGCCTAAAGGGCAGAATTGTATTCCCACCCATTGCAGGCTAAGGAGAGACAGCTGTTCCTTCTCCATTGCCAATGCCTGCCATTTAGCACACATGAAATTTTGGTAAATTAACCTCCATTGTCCCTCCTGGAAATCTGTTATTAGACAATGAGTAATCGAAATTGAAAAACATCAGGCAAGCCTTTGCAAATCAGGGGGACAACATAACACAGGCAGAGAAACGTGCGAAGCGAAGCAGAACATAACGCCATAAAGAGGCTAAAACTCTGAAAATGTGAGCTAATGTACAGGGTTATATACCGTTTATGATACAGTATCATAGATCTTCCAATAAACTGTTATGGGGAAAAGAAGGAACAGTGAGGTTTTTGATCAGATGCTTCTCTTCTCTAAACCTGTTTCCTGTTACAGTTTACTCTGAGTAGAGATTTAAGTTATTGTAGCCACGTCTCCTGCAATAGCAAAGTAATACATCTAAGTTTGCCCTATAAATTCAGCCTGCCTCTAACACAGCCTCTTCCTGACCTTTCCTATTGAAATGTATCGTGAAACTCAAACACTAACAAGAAAGGAAATAAAGTTCACATTTTCATGAGAAGGGAGTGGCAAGCAAGCACAAAGCAGATGTGTGTTAGTGCAAAGAGAACATCAAAAGAAAAGACCTTCAAAAAACCCCTGAAACAAGCTACATAAACAAACACCAGCTTTCCAATGAGAAACACAGCCACATGGCTCAAGAACAGAAAGAAAAAAGCAACAGCCACATTTTTCCTTAAATAAGGTCTAAGAATTAAACATGATGTAGAAGTGCATTGTGTTCTTGGTCACAGGCGGCGGAAAACTATCTAGCATTCAAGCAACAAGAGAAAGGAATTTTAAAGAAACTAGAAAGAAAAACTAAGCAATTACAGTTTCCCTAAAGACGGAAACTATTTTGCTTACACCATTCAAATGGGAGCTGCTATGCAACATCAAAAATATGAAGCCCAAATCCCCTGTAATGGTATAAGCCAGCAGGGATAGTACTGCAATTTAGATAAGCGCCTGGGAAAGACAATATCCACTATCTGGATGCTTCAGTGATAGTGTCTAAAAACAAAGAAACAGACCAAAAAACCAACCTAAACCTAACCCAATGCTCTAGGATAAGTGGAGTTTATATGATCCAGTTTTGAGTAACAAAAAATCCTTTGCTAATCCAAAGGAATTTTAGAAGATAAAGCCAAGAGGAAGAAAAAATGCCTTAGGACATTTATGCTAATAGCTACGAGTCGTCTTTGATGTCTGCAATAATAGCTTTTGGGGAATAGCTTTCCCCACACCCCCTCCAACAAAATCATTTTCTAAGAGCATACAAACACAGCAAACACAACATTACACAGCAGCTTAGGAAGCCTGAAGACATCAGAAAAAGACCCAAGAATCGGCAAAATGTGGAACAATGAAGTGGGAGAACCACTTATTTGTATTATGTATTTGTGCCTTATTGTTTAACATATAATAGAGAAAGCAAACCAAGAGGAGAACAACACATGCAGGAAAGTAGTATACAAACTTGCAGAAATCTCAAATCTTTTTTTGTCAAGTTTCTCCGTATAATTTACTACTGCTAATAAAAGAAACACCAAATTATGTCTAAACAACACAAAACCTTACGTTTTTAAACTGTATACTATTAGTAATGCAAATCCCAGAGATTAGACTTTCTTGCTTTTAGAATAAAAGCAGCCACTTTTTTAAAGCGTTTCATATTTTCAAAAGCTGAACTTACTTTTTTTTTTTTTTAGCTTAAAACTGCACCTCACTCCAGTGCAAGCAGAGTGGTAAGAACAAGATATTCTACAGTAGGGACTAGACGGTAACAACAAAAAGTTTATCTTACTGCCTCATGACTTCAAAGTGAGTATAATCACTGCTCTCTCCCACAAAAAGGTGGTTAGACTTTACATACTTAGCACTTCTGAAAGTGCTTCAAATACTTTCGATTTGATACATTCCCAAACAAACGATGCTGTTGATTGTCTGGAGTTGCCTGAGCATCAAGCCCAATCTCCTGACTCCTGGCGCTGCCCAGAGGGACGTGGTGTCACCCACAGGCCCCCAGGTTCCATCACAAGAACAACGGCTGTGTCTACCCAAACAGAATTAACTTCTCCAGTTCAGAAGAGTTCATTCTAACATAGGATGTTTTTTGCTAGCACAAAATTAAAATCTTTCCACAACTGCATGGGCAGTATGCTGTTGTCCAACAGAAAGAGTTATCTTTTTTTTTCCCCCCTCTTTCTTTACCTTCTTTTCTTTTTTTTCCTATTTGCAGAAAGGGCAGGAGTTTATTTTTAAGGCAATTTCTCCAGCTTGCCAAACAGCCCGATACAGCTAGGGAACTTTTTTTAGATTAATCAGGAGGCAAAGGACCAAGTACTAACAGCGGTCCAACATCCATCACTCCTCAGTTCTAGGAAGGTGTATATGTGTGCCCAGTCTTCTCCTGGCACCATCTCACTTCTGGAATGAAAGCCAGGGGTAGCTGGCAGGGCACAACAGGGCAGAGTGGCAGCCCTTGGCACATCAAATAAGCAGCTACTGGCAAAGCCTATTTTTGTATTTGTCCAACCATAAACAAAATGCAGGGGTTTTTTTTGGAGCAGTTTTCTAAAACAAGTTTTGCCCTATAATCAGATAAATACAGTACAAACTTTGTTGTTCACTACACCAGCAAAAAAAAAAAAAAAAAAAAAAAAAAATCCTATTTTGACTACGCTCACTAGCACACAGGTATTCACGTGCACACCTGTAGCACATAAGAGGCCGGTCCTGGTGCTACCAACAAAACCAACCTAGCTAACTGCTGCAGACTGCACCAGTACAGCACACATCCAGATACACAGACATAAGAGCAGAGCAACTGAAAACTAAGTGATAATCTTTGAGGCCTCTGTGAATAGAATCTGAATCTTAACAGATCCCACTCCAGGCCCTGGGAAACAAGGCAGGTACAAACTCTTAAAAGCAAATGTTTAAGCTGTGGCTGAAGGAGTCCACAAGAATTGGACATCGGAATATTTACCTAATGTAGTTAAGTGGCTCAGCACGGATCAAGAGAACTCACTGGATCTGGCACCAGGAAAGGTAGGTTTTCCTTTTATTTCTGCTCAACTGTATCTATATAATTTCTGTTTGGATTCAGCAAATTAATCTTGCAGTAAATATAATTTCAGCAAACACCACAACACAGCATTCCTTCACATGCAAAATCCCTTAAAAAAAAAGAAATGCTGGAGCACTCTTGCTGTCCAGCACCTATTACCTGCAATGTATTATGTAGAAAGGTAAAACGGTGTTTTTCCCCATTGAACCGTGCTGCCAGTTTACAAGTTGAAAACCCATGGATTAGTGTAAAACAAGCACCTTCTGACCCTTCAGCTCTAGACAGGAAAGTATTTTGGTGCAGCAGAACACTAAATGGGGCATCTGAAGCTTGATGGCTCCAAGGCAGCTGGTAACATATTATGGTGTGTTACACAGCAAGACATGCAGGAATTAAAGGTGAGCTCACCTTACGCAACATTCTACGGCACGAAACCAATGAAGGATTTCATCATGAAGGGTGCATAACTGAAGGCAGGAAAGAAATACCTTCTCAGCATCACTGTACCAGCCTGCATCTGAGAGGAACCCACCTGGAAAAAAATTAAGAACAAACAGAAATTTGAACAGCAAAACACCATTTTAAGAGAAAAAGGGTTTGCTCAAGCCTTGCAAGAAGACTACTTATTTCACAGAACTGCACACTACATACAGGAATCCTGTTAAGGTTAAACCCTTCAGTCCTGAACTGAAAAGGATGAAGTGTAAGAGTACAAGAATTTCCCTTCAGTAGTTTTCTGTCAAGAAATACTTACCAACACTAAAATTATGCAAAGTCTTAATGTTAACCATCACATCTGCAAACAAATTTTAAATCAAAAACGTTTGAAAGAGCAAAGATAAGCCTACGTATTCTTAGATTTTAAAATCCAATGTATTTTTCTTAAGACACCAAGTAGTTTTCTAAAAATTACACCCCAAAAGACACAATTTTTTTAAAAAGAAATATCAGACATTAACATGAAAAAAATATTAGGATTAGTTTAACCGAAGCTTGCATTAAAGAAAGTATCATACTTTAAACAGCCTATCATCACCAGTTACCTAAAACAAAACCAATCTGGATTGCTTTTTCTTTTACAGCAGAATCGGATTCTGCTATGTAGGAGCACCGTCTACTGAAAGAATAGGCCAGTACAGAAGCAACTTTTACTCCATGGTCCATCAAAGCCTGAAAACAGTGATGAAGCAGATGTCTGAAACAAAAGAGAGCAGAATTTGATTACACAGGAAGTTTTTAAAACACTGCAGTCAGTTGGCTCTTGAGTGCCATAAATTCAAACGAGTAGTGATTCAGAGAAGTAACTCCAACCCTCTCTCAAACCAAAACCAGATAAACATAAGCGTAATTGCCAATCTCAAAACTAACGGATTACAGTTGTTGGATTACCCAACAAATTAAGTGAGCATACACAAAGTTCTTTACAAGGACACCCTCCAGTGTAAGCAAAACACAAGCTACCCACACAATATTACAACCTGAAAACAATGTTTTCAGCTAAAACATAGAGGGGGGGAAAACCTCAATCCCACCCTCACCCCTCAACTCCCAGAGAAATTGCAGACAAATGAGCAGTGACGACCCCATTAACATCACACCTGTGCAAACAGTGGGAGGGAGGTATGTCTAAAGACTCAAAGTTTACTCTGTTTACAAAGAGTCTGATCTAAAAAAGTCAAGTTCTGAGCATAACACCACAAATAGTAATATTTAATGAAAACTCTAAACTGGGGCGACCCTATCAGCTTGATAAGCCTTTACTTGGGATTTGCTACAACAGCAAGAAACAGCTACTTTGGCTGTTACTGCTCAGGGACTGGCTGGACATTGATCTGCTGGTGGCAAGCAACTGGGCTTTTTTGCATCACTTGTTATTCCTTTCCTTCTCTGTTGTTTTCTTTTTCCTCTCTTTAAAAAAAAAAAAAAAAAATTATTAAGCTGTCTTTATGTCAAACCCACGAGTTGTCACACTTTTACTTCCAGTTCTCTCCCCCACTCCACTGGGTGGGTGGGAAGGTGAGCGAGCGAGCGGCTGTGCAGTGCTTCACTGCCTGCTGGGGTTAAACCACAGCAAAGCAGTAACAAAAAAAGCACTTTGGGAACAAGTTGGTATATCTACACAGAAATTTCAATTGCTTTACATTTTGAGACAGAAAAAAGACACACAGTAACTTAAAAATTCATCTGTAAATCTAGTGAGGTATTCTCATGGTTCTTAGATGGGCTAAGTAAGACCCAAAAGATTAGAGACATCTTCTAAATTCAAAGCCTAGGTCAAGAGGTAAGAGCTGAAGTGAGAATTAAGGATATATTAAGATACTTACCTTTTATCTAAAGCTCGTAGCACCTTTGCAAAAACTTCTAGTTCACAAAATTCACTACCCAGCTGGCATAAGCGGCCCTGTTGGTAAAGCTGAAAGAAAAATATATTTTAAAGTTTTAGTTCTTCCGAGAAATTTAGCTTAATAGTAAAAATGTCATATGATGAAATCTGGACTTCAAAGTATTGAAAGACAGCAGACTCAGACGTAATAGTTCCACTATCTCCACAGAGACGCACAACTTCAGTGTTTAAAACTGAGCACACGAGAGTTCCACAGGCACTTTTATCCAAAGCTGTATTTTCAACTGTCTACTACGTCCACCTGCATCATAAAACACTGCAACACCTAAGTTAGAAGGCTAAGCCAAAACCAAAAAGTCAAGTTAGCAAAAGATATAATTAATAACTTCTTTGATAACAAATGTTTTCAAAACATTTTTTTGATGACACAGTCCAGCGCACAGCACTGCAAATACAATTTAAATTATATAAAAATATATACAAATAAACCCCAAACCCACAAGTTCTGCAAGGGGTGACTCGGCAATACCCAGAGCTAAAGCCGATCGTGAGCCCTGGACCCCATTAATACCTGAGCTTACACAAATAATTCCTTCATGAGTAAATCGGACAACTCAAGCAAATCTGTTCATGTACTTATTAAAAACAATAGCTAGTTTTATGCCCAAACTGATTTGTGTCTGCAGATAAGCAAATACATCAGCTGACTTGTTCATAAAAAGCAAACCGCGGAGACAGTTCTTTATGCAACACATAGTTCAGCTGCAGAGCTATCTGCCACAGTACACTATAAATACTAAGAATTTACATAGGTACAAAAGTGACTGTACAAATAAGTGTCAGAAAAATCCATTGTGGGCTGTTAATTCCTCATATCTTGAAGCCCCAAAACCACAAATGACTGGAAGCAGGGTATGTAACCTAAGGAAGCACCACTACACACTTGCCATAGTCTCTGCTAGAGGCCCAGTACCGGAGCACTGAGTTCCGTGCCATCGTGAGCAGGCAGGTGAAGCACTATTAATAGTGTTTCAGAAATCCCTAATTTCTAGTCTGTATGTTAAAAGATTCAAACATCCACTGTCCAAGATGGGCACAGGCACACCTACGGCACAGCTCTCTGTGCTGTCTAAGCAGGTTTTACAGCTATGAGGAACGCTGACGTGAGGAGAGCTGCTACCCTATTACGTACGCAAAAGCAAGGCCGAGAGAACACATTGTTTAGAGATGATTACAAAGATAGATTTCATGGAAATGTTAATATTCCTCTCAGTTTTAATAATATCTTTAAAAATTTTTAGTGATAAGCATCTTGTGTCTGGTTCACTCTTTTCTCCACAAACACTGGAAGCAGATGAATCAGTATTCAAAACAAGCATGTGAGAACATCACCTCCAGCCGGCCAGAAATGTAGTTTTGGTCAACTCTTCTTATAAAAGCACATGACACTGATTCTAAAGCACAGCAAGTTTGTTATTTTAACAACAGAACCTACAAAAAGACTTCAAAAATACTTTGACCTAATAATGTCAGTTGCCAGAAATGAATGTTTTCCTTTTAGTCATCTATTTTTCTGGTGGAAAAAAAAAAAAAAAAAAAAAAAAAAAAAAAAAAAAAAAGAACTCTTTTTAAAAACAGTTCAAGTTTGCATGTAAAATTACTCCTTAGATAAAACAGTGTCATGTCCCTGGACTTCAAAGAGATCGGGGTTTCTTCTGAAGCTATATTCTCTCTGGCAGTGAAAGAACATCCAGTCTGGGGTACTTAAAAACCACAGTCACGCTTAAGTATGCTCCTTTTCTTCAACACAGCTCTCTAATGTTAACTGCTCTATAAAACCTAAAACGTATTTTCCACAATCAAAAAAGAAGATGATTAAGTCTTGCCTAGTATTCCAAGCCCAAAACTGAAGGTGGACATCTTATCAGTAATTGACGAGATAATTTCTCGAAGCAACTAAGACACGTACCCAAGCTATTTTCCCAGCATTTAAGACAAGGAAAAATCCTATCACATGTTCAATAATCAGGCTTTCAATCAAGTACCTCAGCATTTCCTCTTATCACCTTGCTACCTAAAAATTCCAGAGATGACTCTGATACTAGTTTACCAAATACTAACTGTAGTATGACTTCTTAGAATTGATATATTTATGAGGTCACAAACACATCTTGTAACGTGCCCACTGTTACTGTGATTCTTAAATTACTAATGAATAAATGCCCTGGCTGAGTGGGAGAGAGGGGGGAGGTCCTCAATTTTGATATACCAATTATTTCAGGCACATGCAGAGTTTAGCTTACACCCAAAGGCCCAAGCCTGCTATCTGTACATCTCTTAGCCCAATTCAAAGGTTAACACTTGCATCATTCTGGCATGCAAAAAACCCCAACCTATTTTTCACTGGTATAACCAGAAATACAGTATCCTTGGGATGTTTACCACACTATTCACCCCTTCCCTCGACACACTGGCAAACATTTTTAAGGAACTAACTCAGCTTAAATTCTCTTGAAATTGTTATAGCTGTTACAGCAATATTTTCAAACAAAATTTGACATGGAAATAGTGAGCGAGTATACGTCAAACTGTGAAGCAATTCCAGGAGATTCAGTAATGCTCATTTGTCCATTGAGAAGCAGTTGCAAGCGCTGAAGAAATGGTTCTCTAGTTAAAGCTCCAGAGACAAAATTCCTGACCGCAAGCCTTGCTACATAACATGAAAAACAAAACAAAATAGTGATTCAAGAAAAACATGCCCTGACAAGAATGGCAGAGGTTTGGACTTCTGAAGAACTATTCTTTTCCTAAGAAACAAATGTCTTAGAGACACAAGCTTAACCTATTTGGAGCTTAACAGAGATTTATTTGTCTTTAACAATAGCAGTATGACTAAAAGCCTACAATACTACTTCCAACTTCATCAGCTCACACTGACACATTAATTCTGGCACTGAAGACAGGAACCATGGTATAAGTTAAATACATAGGTGTATCATTACACACATACACAATTAAACTGTTTTGCACAACTGTGAGAAAACCACCATGATCCTCCTTCAGGATATAAAGGCTTAATATTTCACTAGTAACACACCCACCTAAACGTTCAAAAGCTGCATGTAGTGGTGTCCCCAATTAAGAACATTAATAACATTAACTTGTAAAATATATTATTATATCATCCTGTATATGTAATTCTACTAAAGTTCTTAACAGATTTCTCTCTCTGGATAAATTGAGTTCTAACTGCTTCCTAGCAAACCCCTGAAAATAAAGATGAAGACATGCTAAACTGCTAGCAAAAGCAAAGCCATAACACAGGAGAAAAAGCTATACAATATCTGCATCTCCAGCATTCTGGGCTGGCTCACTGTGTACAAGCACAAGAGAAATAATTTTTTCTAAACCCAAAGAAAAAATAGTAAAATTTTTAAAATAATTTTTTAAAGCAGCTGGAGATTAATTCTAACCAGTTGTAAAAAGGACCCTCTAGAAAAGGAACTGCAGCATACGCAATTTGTAAAATATGCTCCTATTGCTCCAGTTTGGAAGAGGACTGAAAAATGAATATGGATATTTCATTAAGAGCTAAAGAGACAAGGAATTCCAAGGAGATCCCCAGCATGTTTAGTAATGTCTAATAATGTTATGACAAATACCATGCCAAATTTAGGAAGGACTGTGTACTTAATCAAAAACCATCACTATTTAGGGAAAAAAAGTTTGGCTGTAACCACAATCTTCCTTCCCTACTTAACAAGGAAGGAAAAAGCTTCCTCAGAGTCAACAGTGCACTGAATCAATCTGTTGACAAATGACTCATTATAAATGGGGGGGTGGTGGTGGGGGATAACTGCCTAAGAAAATAATCAGTTATAAATTTAGGTACATTAAATTCTTTTAAATCAATTCCAAAACCTCTGGACAAGCATTAGTTCGATTGGGTATTATTTAGGGCAGAACAAAAGAGCAAACTTTACAGTTCTTTGAAAACATCCTGCTAATTACTACACTGGCCTTTACGAACCTCAATCAAATAAATAATCAAGAAAAAACGCCCAACTTCAGACAACTTTTGGACCCTACTGCTTTCACACACAGCGCACTTCTTCAAATCTTCCCACTCACTCGACTTTTTGTACCATATCAGCAAAAATATTATTTCACATCTACAGAGTCCAACACAGAGGACATTAAGTCTGAGCCTGACAGTCACACACATGTAAATTCTCTGCAGCAGTGAACAGGGAAACCCATTTTGCTTTCAAGTTAAATCAGTACAAAGGAAATTAAGTGGAAGTAGGAATTATGGTTTCAGCAGGAGCTGAACACCTCTGCTCACAATGTGACCTCATTATCTGAATTATGATGAGTTCTCCTGTCTAAGACTCAATAAGGATACTGAGAAAAATGGGGAAGCTAAAGCATATCAGGAATAGAAAACATGCTCCACAGTTAGACGTTCAAAAAAAAAGCAAACTGAGTCAATACAAGTTAGAATAATGGTAAGCAAAGACAAGGAGTTTCAAACCAGTAAAGACATAACAAGGAAAGATAGTTCAGTTCTAAATTTAGAGTACAGAACTAAGGCACATGTTACAATCAAAAGTAATGGTAATTGGACAAAACTCATGAACTGATGATTCTTCTTCACTGTGAGGCTCTAATTTAGAAAGGGGTGACACACGGACATATTCACTGAGGTCCAACCGCACGTTCTACGTGAAGTCTAACCAGATGATCAGAGCGGTTGTACATGTGTCCGCACACACGTGTGGAAATCATGACCATTTCCCACACATACATTTAATTTCCGATCCCCAAAAATACAGCAGCATGAATGTAGTAAGTCTTTGTGAAGTCACACTGATCGGTCACAGCAGAAGTCCTACAAAATATGACCCATTTGCTCTGGGATTTTTTGCCTCCCTTACACATTGCTTATGACCTTATTTGTACGCCTCTGGTCAGAAAACCTCAAAACTAAAGCAGCACAGTTACACTTCATTTCATGGGTAGTTTATCCTCTTCATTCTCATCAAATACCCAGGAGACTGAGGCCTCAGGATAAGCTAATTTTATTCTAATCTTACAGAAATTATGCTTATAATAATTATTCATCAGAAAAACAATCTCTGCTGCAATGCAGAGAAGAGACCTATTGCTTGTTGTGAACAGTCAGCAAATTCCTGTTTATTCATTTTGTTTGGTTCAAAAGGATACCTAGATGTGATACAAGAGCTTTTATTAGCCATGCTTGTTATTTCTGGATTAGCAGAACACAGTGAAGAGACATGATACTGCAGCTACACTCATAATTACAGAAGTTGGAGCTTTTAAGATCTAAACTCAAAATCTAGTATTTTGATTCACATCAAGGAAGGAGCACTTCAGAAGTTATCTATCACTTTAAAGAGAAAGAATGATATAACCTTTTGGATTTTGCCTAAAAATTTTAATGCAAAACAAGTTAGCATAGTGCAATTACTGAAGGTTACAGGTCTGCACTAACTAATGAAAACAAATTAATGTCATCTCAAATTGTTCCTGTGGTAAATGATCTCATCAGAAAGCAAAGAACATTGGACCCAACTGATTTTCAAGAAAAATCAATGTAGAAAAAAAAGAAAACCACACAATCCAGGAAAGACATTCCAAAAGGAAAATAAACCCTTGAATGAAACTCCTTGTTAGCCAATACAAGTCCAAGATCAGCCTGATGGTGCGTAACTACAACAAATAGCTATGACAGAGAACACTACAACTAATGGAGCAGTTTCTCTTCAAAATCACTCTGAAAACCAAAGAAATTAGATAATTACACATAGTCGAATATAAAGATGAGGCATGGGGGAAAGAACTGAATTCTACACAAGACACTAACTGAACAGTCGTTGGACTAGATAGTTCAAACTCCTATTTCTATCAAGAGAAACTCATTTCTTTACATGAACTCTCAGCTTCAAAAACACTGTTCTTTCCCCAATAAACTACTAAATACCATAATTCAATTTTCCTAATATTGTGGGTTTGCCTTTTTTTTTTTTTTTTTTGAGGATTTATAGTTTCTACTTTTTAATACAGAATTTTGGCATTTGCAAATGCTGCCTACCTGCCAGGCATGTCCTATTTTAACTGAGATCCAGCATATTTCTTAGACTTCTAAAAACTAGACACACTCTCTCTTCCACCCACCACCCCCCTCCCCCCAAGAAAAGAAAGAGAACCCAATTAGTTCTACTGGGAAACAACACAACCAGGATATACATAAACCTGGCAAAGAGCAAAGGAAACAAAATATGATATGTTTGCACATTTTTTTTTATTCCCCCCAGGTGCAGGTGTTACAAGTAACAATACTATTTATGAAGATCTACAAAGTACAGCTGTGATTAATAAGATATTTAAATATTTTTTAGCACAAATGCAGACCTGAAAATTTCCAGGATATCCTTACGAGCATTCTGCTCTGCCTCTGTTATTTTTCTAATGGTTGCAAGGAAAAGTCAAACGTTGCTTGAAAAAAATCCAGTAACACCATGCTGAACCAGTACAGGTTTGTTGTTTTACTATAATCATGATTATTTGATATTGCCTTTTTTTAAGCTTTAGTTGTTGTTTAAGAACACTACAGAAAGATAAATATAGTTACTATTAGGAGCCTGTATGTTTCTGCCACTTGCACCAGAACCCATTTCTTATTGAGTCCACAACAAAGAACATTCTGCAACTATCCCAGGTTTGAGTCCTCATTGTTAAATGCAAACGTGCAGGTTTATAAGGCATGTCCTAGAAATTAACAGTTCTGGAATACGTAGAATTAAAAGTAATTGGATTTGTTAAGGAATGAGAAATAAAGGCATTATATTATGACAATAAAGCCAAACACCGGATTAGAGAGTACCCTGGGGAAAAAACAAAGACTAAGACACTGTGATAGCATTTACCTCCCTTCCAAATAATAGCACATTGACAATCTCCACTGTAACAATAGTACTGTATCTGCCTTCTTAACCAGCATGAACAGGTTTGCAAATTGTGCAAGATTGACAAATGTAAAGTTTGAGTGTTCATACTAATGAAAACGATAAAAAAAGTTTTGTATGGTCAGAGCCAATTATCATCTGTGTATGGAAATACAATCTGACTGATACTACCTTTTATTTTTTGCAAAATCACTGGCAGTTTCTCCAGTATCACAAACCATGATTAATACCTGGATAACAAACTATTACTTACAAGTTAGATGTGAAAGACTGAAAATATTTTTCTTCCTTTTAGTAATCACAGAAAGTGATTATCTTTTTCAAGGTCTAAAGGCAAGTATTTTCATGCAAATCCTCAATTACACACTTTTCCTCAGCTGTCTTTAAAAAATAAGTACTATTCCATATGATACTAACAACTGACACCCCCTCAACACAGCAGCAACAACCACCAACCACCATGCAGTCAAAAACAAAAATTTATAGACGTCTTCTAGTCTGTTTTACTTTAAAGACTGTTAGTGATTTTAGAAATTCTACTTCTGCTTTAAAGAACTTCGTGGTCAGGATATACTGAATATAGCTCACCAACGTGAAATGGTATTTAATATCCATGTTATTTTGAAAATAACTGTATACAGAACCAAAACAGTAAAACAAGCACCATGTACAACATGAGAGAACTGCCCAAAGGTGTGATGCTGCTCTTATTCCAATCTAATTTAGTTTTGTCATTTGTATTGCTGTAGCCATCCAAATGCAGGAAACAAGAACCAGTTACTAAGTCTTGTACAGGTGCATAGAAAAACACAAATGCTGTTCCAAAAGGTTTGTAATCTGGGCTAGGCTTCGAGGCACTCATTGTAGGCAGACATCTCTGCAAATAGAAACACCATTTAGTAAGGGCTGTGGATTTCCTCTCAGCATCCCCTCCAAGGTTTAGTTAAATTTATGTATAAGATAATTTGAATGTGACTAATGAAGAGGAGAGGTTCTCTTACACAGAGGAGAGATTAAAAAACCCAAACAACTAGTGAAGAAGACATGGAAGACTAGCCTACCATTGGCAGCAAATGCAAAACACTCGCTGTGTACCACGTAGCTCAGTTTTATTTATTCTCTATGTGGACATCTCATAAATGCGTATTTGTAAGAAGAATATAGGTGCACCTCACATATTTCAGACTATCAAAGATTGTCCTGCTGTAAAATACAGAAATAATAGAAAAAGCAATGCAAATTACAGTCATTAACAAAAGTTCTACTGGCTAGCGATTAGTACAACAGAAACAGTATTCAAAGACAGGTACACAGCATGTTTATTATCATCTGCCCAACAAGATGGCATACCAAAGTACGCAAGCAGAACAACAAATTAGAAAGTCTATTTAGAAGTCAGATATACTGCTAGTTCTTTTTTTAATTATAGAACAACTCCATATGAATCTGGTTCAACGCAACCACTGAAGAGAGCTAATAAAAGCATAAGGAGTCAATGATCTATTAAGCTCACCTACAGATGAGGTTTTAAACGATCTGGGAATAATACACACTTGGATATTTCTATCATTAGAAGGAGGTTTTGTTTTTATGCTTTTAAAAGCCACAGAGTACCATCCTTTCATCTAAATGAACATCAGGACAGGCAATGCCAAGGAAGTTTTTTTGTCAATGGTCATACCTACTAACAGTTAATAAACCCAAAATATTCTTCCACACTGTTAGTTCCATATCTTTACTCTTTATCTGACAATTGCCATGTCAACCACATCATTACCTGTGAGCATGCTCCGATGTCATAGAAAGGGGTTTCCGTATTTCTCAATACATAAAGCAGACAAGTAATAGCTACTATACCGAAAATGTACATGTCTGTTTCAATGCTGTAGAAACAATTTCCCCGTCTCCAGTGAAGATCAGCCTTCCTTGTAAATACTATTATTCACTCTTGCTATATATGTGATGGGCCACAACCCCTGGTTGATAAAGATTCCTCTCAAGAATTACTTCATTTAGCACATCTTAGATGTTTTAGAAATTTACTGGCTGAGGAAACAGAGGTTATCCCCCATCTTAGGTTGGGTTGTTTTTTTGGTGGTGGTTTTTTTTTTTTCCACACATTGTTTCTCTTTTGATGAATGCTCATTTTCAGCCATTCCTGTACGTGGATGAAATGCCTATTTAGTGGACAATAGAAATTAATGGACCATCTCAGTGTACCTTTTACTCTAACTGTGGATATTTTAGAGGCAGCTAAATGAGAAACAGCCCTTTCATGAAAGAATAATTTAAGGCTAATAAACTATATCATTAAATGAATCTCAGTTCTTTTCATCTGGTTCCTACCAGGTCATTAAAGAAGATACAAAAGCATGGCAAACTCTGCTCCTTCTATTACTGACATCACCTTCTCTAATATATTAAAAAAAAAAAAAAAAAAAAAAAAGGACAAAAATATATTCCAACACAGATAGCTTAGTCTCCTCCCGCCCCTACCCGCTCTCCGGCTCCGAAGCCGAGGAGGCATCCTCACCTCACGACCCCAAGGACAAGCCCCTTCCCCGCCTCCCCCGCGGCGGGGCTCCCCCAGCCCCGGTCCCGCCGGCCCAGCAGTGGAGAAAGAGAAGCCGCAGGCCCCCGGCCCTGCCCGAGCTTCCCCTCGGAGCCTCCACTCCTTCAGCCGCAGCCCAGGCGGCCCCACACCGGCCCCCGCTCCCCCGGGCCCCTTCTCGGCGGCGGGAGCGGGGCGAGGCCCTGCGGCCCCTCACGGCCGCGCCCCGCGGGGAGAGGCCGGGGGCAGGCCGGGAGCGGACCTGCTTCTCCTTCCCTCTCCCCCAGGCCCAGCCGGGCCCGGCCTCCCTCCGTTCCCCGCCGCCTCCCCCGTACCTTATAGTACACATCGAACTGGATGTTCTCGGGCAGCGAGCGGATGTCCCGTCGCCGGGCCCGCCCGTAACTATCCACCACGGCCGAGATCGCCGTGTTATAGAGCGTCTCGGGCACCCACTCCAGCTCCACCGCCGCCATCTTGGGTGTGCGGAGCCGCCTTCCCCCCACCCACCTCCCCCCCCCCCCGCCCGCCCCGCTCCACCTCCCGCGCCTCACGCCCCGGGGCTCCCGCCGCCCTGCCCCGGGAGGGAGAAACGGCAGCGCCGGCTGGAGGGCGGGAGAAAAGATGAGGGAAGGGGGAGAAAAATCATCCGCCTGCGCGGAGGTTCGAAACGAGCGAAGGGGGAAGCCCCGAAAGAGCGAAGGGGGAAGCCCCGGGGCAGCGGAGAGCTGTGGGACTACGGAGTTATATCGAGGGAGTGAGAGGAAATGGGGAGGATGAGGAGGGTGTAGGGGCGAGGGGAAGCCTTGCTGGCAGTGACAGCGTGTAAAAAGGGCGGTGGTGTGGCTGTAGTCGTACGGGGAGAGCCGGCTGAGCCCTGAGCGTCCCCCCCCTCACACACTGAGCTCCAGGGCCCGCCCAACCCCACATCTCTGGGAGTGGAAGCGTTAGTATTTACAGCCGAACCTCTGGTAACATACTGCTAATATTGGGCTTTCTATGGCTTTCAGGTGTGTTGGCAGCTCAAGGTGAGCATTATTTGGGAGTCGGGGGGTTTGACTATACCTGAGGTGCACCTGCTTCGTCTGGTGTTTCTCCTTGGCTGCCATGTGGTAAAAACGCTCTTTTCCCTGTGTAAATTAACCCTGTGACCCTTCGTGGAAATAGCACTATATTTTGTTAATATCTCATTATCTGTATCAAGCTGCTTGAGACATGTTTTTCTTCCTAATTTGCTCTCCATGTGGGGCTTGCATACACCACTAACAACATCCTGGATAGATCTTGGAGACAGATGGTAGATTTTTAGGCAGAGGGAATTAAGATCATTTGGTCTAAAACAGACTCTGGGTGTAGCCAGTGATTTAGCCACCCAAGTGCAAAGCAGGCAAGGACTCTCAGATTATTGGTTGCTGTAGGTTTTGATATCACACTAAATATCACACAAGTTTGACTGCTCTAGTGCAGTCCCAAACAAAACTTTTGTTCAGAGTTAAATATTTAATTTTTTTCAAACTTTTTATCATACCCATTGATAGAAGAAACACAAACTCTAGATGCACTAGCTATATTACCGAATACTTTTCCTTCTGTCAAGTCTTATTTTGGTTTTCTTAGCTAATGTAAGACTGCTACTGTGACTTATTGTTTGTTCTTTTTTATTTTAAAAATTATAGGAGGCAGAGCTTCTGCGGTTTCACTTTGGGTATTGTTTTTAATAATCCTAAATTGTTGCTATTCCTCCCTCACCACATTTTGTGAGAGGACATTATTCTTTGTCCTTTACTTGCAGAAAGAAATGTTATAGGGTGGGAAGAAAAGAATGTGATCTAAACAGACCACGGAAGATTGCTTTGTCCTCTTTGTCCTTTTGGTTTTGCCTATTAGTGGCTTCAGGTTTTTCTTTTCTGGGAAGGTGTGGTTTGTTTGTTTTTTTTTGTTTTGTTTTTTTTTTTTTTTTTTCAATTGAGGAAAGACAGCTGGTTTCTATTGGCAGTTAGACCCCCAACAGGCAGGGGCAATTTAACTCAGTTACTCTCTGAGTAACTAGTTTGCAAAGGTTGGAGTTAGAGGCCTGTTAGGAAGGGATGGGTAAGGTAGTTTTGCAGTGCATGAAGGAAAAAGTGTTGATAGTAAATAGAAAATAGTAGGTTTTGAACTTATAATATTCTTTATTTTGCCTTAAGGTAAAGTATTTAACAAGATTTCTGAATGTTGTGGCTAGGGTAAATACACTTTTCAAGACAGAGCTGTGGCGATGGACTTTATCTTCTTGATAAGTTACTATGTCTTGAAAAATTAGCTAAACTACAACATTTGCTGTCTTGTAATTTTTTGTAGACAAAACTATAGCGTGCATATTTAAGGAGAAGAAAGAAGCTTATCTATGAAAGGATATGGTGTAAACACTGTCTGGAGTATATTATGTTATGTGTTCAGTCTGTAATTCATTTTGGTTGTAGAGCCTGAGGAATAATCTTTACGGCAAAAGTGATTTAATATTTTGGTAGAAGTAAAATTTAGATACAGTAGCATTTATTATTTATTAGTACTGTATAGTTGGATATACTTATGTATTGAACAACTGGGTGATCTTCCATCATAGATACATACTTTGTTCTTAACGGTATTGTTAGGGAGTATGTGGAGTCCTGGATTCAGCTTATGTGTGTTTAATGTTGAGATAGTAGGTAGCCATTCAGACTAATACAGTTGGTAGCAAAACAGACTTATAAAAGTTTATTTTATTAAATAATTGGGTAGTTCTCTGATTACATTTAAACTTAAGAGGTATCCTGTTTGTTGTTTATTTTTTTTTTTTCCATAAGCTGCATTGGGAACATATTAGCAAAATGGCTTCATTCAATTATATGCTTTTCATATTCATAAATTATTTTAATGTGATTACTTATTAATAGTTGCAGATGTTAGAAAATCTTTCTGACTCTGGTACTTATTGGCAGAGGTTCTGATGGATATTCTTATCTTTGTTAGTATCTTTCTCTTTTCTTTTGTCTTTTTTTTTTTTTTTATATAGGGAAACATTTAAAAGACACTTACAAATACTCCCTGTGTCTGAAAGCAAAATGGTAATGTCTGTTGTTTAGGCAAAAGCATTCAGTCAGTCTGTCTTCTGTAATCTTAGCTTTTGAAGATGCATCTGGGTATCTGAAGAGCTCTCATTTGAAGCTTATGGAGTGCAATGGCTCTGTACATCTGTGTATCATTGTAGTGGATGGGGATGCAGACAAGCCTAATAATGGGTAAATGCATAAAGAAAATCTAATCATAGTCTTCTGTTATAAAAACTGCCCCTAGAGATCAAACAGCATCTTGGTTGTCAAAGTCCCCTCTGTTAAAGTTCATATAGAAGAGATTTTACATCTGCAAAGAAAGATGGTTGTGTAATTTCAATAGAATGTGGTTGGAGCCTGATGTTCTGCACCACAAAAAACTTCCCTGAAACCCTTAAGGAAAATTTCAACTAGCTGTTGGTACTAGTGGACAGCAGTGAGTTGCTGAAGTTCACTTCTGCTAGAAGAGGTTGTTAACATTGAGTTTTTCCAAACTTGTATGTGAAACCATGGTTTCATGACTAACGAGTCAATTTGGTCTGCAAATTGCTGGAGCAATAAGTATCTGTGTTGCCTTTGTCTCACAATTTTGGCTCTGGCTGAGCTGCAAACTGAAAAGGGGTTTTTGTTGTGTTTTTTCAGTTGTGCGTGCAGATTTATATTTCAGCCAGATTAGGAACTGTACATTGTTAGAGCTTGTGCAAGAAGCAGCGGGACTGCCTCTTTCACTGCTACATTTTTTTCACTGGTGTGTTCTTAGGTCAGGTTAAGTCAACTGCAGTTTCACCTGATTTTGAACTGAAATTAATTAGAAAGTGTTCACAGAACGAGCGTTCTTGGTGAATAGGTATAGATGCTGATTTTTGTCAGAAAGGTGGTGATTAGTGTTTGTGAATCCTTTCAATGACCCAGTGAGGAACTGAGTTGGGGTGCCTGCAGATGCTCTGCTTTTTATATGTCAATCTCAAATAATTTTCCAAATGTGTATTAGTATAACTATTGCAACTATATTGTTTCAGAGTCAAAAGAATAAACAGTGCTATATAGTTTGAGATGTGTAAGTGAAAAGTACTGAATAAATACTGTGTCAGTTTGGCAGGAACATAATTCTAGAAAGCTTGGATGAAAAAGATTGAATCTCTTTCATATGCTGTCAGTGCAAGACTATTGTTTCCATGTTCTCATTAAAGGTAAGGTACTTGTCAAAGAGCAAAAACGTGTGTGTGAAACTGATGTGTTAACAGAGATTAAGTTCGGTATGAATATAGTTAAAGATTCAAGCAAACTCATCGTTGGAAAATTTGGATTTGGATCATAATCTAGCATGGTTTAGGCTTTTCAGATTAGACCAGCGGTTCTTGTTTTGTCTTAGTTTAAATATGAGCTTGTATATGCGAACAGTTTTATTTTTTTAATTACTGTAGCTGGACATACTTAGTGGAAAAAAAGGTTCTAAGAAAACAATAAAAAAACCTGCTGAATTTTCCTGCAATGTGCTTATTTTGAAGTGGGAAGGAAGTGAACTGACATGGATAACATATGAACCTACTATATCTCCTTGATGTGGATATTAAAGGAACCTTGAAAATAGTTTATGGGGAAGTTGTTGGAGGCTTCTAATTTTATATTCTTAACAGGAAATCATTAAACTGTGGAGGAGCCAACATAACAGACTGTTGCTCTAAAACAAGAGCTAAATGCAGAGCATTCACATGAACTTGTCAGATCTTTTCTTAATGCTGGCATCTTTTTTTTTCTTTCATGTTTACTGCAACCCAGATAAATACATTTTCATTTTTGTATTCTTCCTACACATCAGTTCAGTAGTGACATTTTGGATGAAATGTTAAAGCAATGACTTTAGGGTCATACCTTAGGGAATATGAAGAAACTGAGATTATACTCCATCAGACCCAGAGGGTGTTAACTCCTTGAATGTTCAGGTCTGCACTCCTTTGGCTGGGGAAAAAAACCTTTAAAAAAGCGGGTACTGCTCAGTTTTATCTTCTTCTTTTACAGGAGATTCTCATGCTTTATCTGAGGCTTGCAGAGATGACTGACACATTTCACAGAGGCTAGTCAAGAGATGTAAGAGTTATAATAACCTTTTGTCACTCAGCTTGGATTGTTGGAGTGTACTTAGGGGCTGGAGGAAGGAAGGAGATTATTATGTGGCTGTAAGCACTAAGACGTGAAGGTTAGTCACCAAAGTCAGCTGAGGTGCTTTAGAAATGAAGGAGGCTTTAAGAATGTAAGTTTGCCAAAGCCAGATGGGCAGTGCTGCTTTCTGCTCTTCTGCAATTAGTGAATTTGTGCCCAGGTTATGAGCTTTTTATGGATCTGACCTATTCATGATTTTGTGTGTTTTTCATCTGTCGGACAAAATTAATGGTGGCTTTGACGAAATATAACTTTGTGTAACTTTAAAGCACGCTACTACA